TATGCCAACTCTCTCAAGCCCTCACCCAAAATGACATTGCAATGCAATATAAAAACTGGCCTTGTTTCAAAAAAAAAAAAAACACTTACTGGATTCATTTTCTTCATGTTTTTATGCTTTTTCTGTACTGTGTGGTTGACATCTAATCCATCTGAATGTACTTCCTAAAGTGCTTGCAAATAAAACTGATGCTTGGCTTTCTTTGCTGCATTGCAAAAGAGATATCTTTACTGATTGTGTAATTTATATCTCTTATTATTTTCTTCCTCAAACTCAGCTTGGAAAGCAGAACTTAACTTCCCATGCGTTGGAGGTAAACGCTTCACAAGCATACAGTCCAACCACACCAGAAGCCTCTTCTCTGCACCCTCCTTCTGTGACACCTTTTGCCCGAACCAGTTTTTCACCAGACAGTGGCTCCGGCCCAGCATCACTTCCTCTGCCACCACCAGATAACTTGGGGCCTTCATGCCTGCATACACCCCTGGCCTTCTCACATTGTTTACATAGGCAGCCTTTCCTAGCTCCTGAAAGCCTTACCCACAGCGACATCACACGCTCTCCCACCACAGACTCCTCCCATTCTGAGAGCAAGTTCTCCACCACCATTCTAGATGAGCTGCAGATCAGCAACTCTGACACCACTGACCATTCTGAAACACCTTCCCCAACCATGGGTCAGAGGTCTGCTGTGACAGATGGCACCACCTTAACCACCCCTGCTGCCACTCATGTAATTATCCTTCCTTCTTTCACCTCTGCCATTTTCACACAGGTCTCCACAGGCCAGAATAACTGAATTCTTATCTGCCATCTCATTTGGCAGCTGAGCCTTTGTATCTGTCTAGTTGTTGTTTAGCAAACTGACTGTATACAGTCTACCAGGGAACTCTATTACAGTCATCCTCACGCCTACTTAGTGTTGAAAAATTCAATTATATCATCTTTGTTCATTCCAGAATTATTTATGTTTACATTATATTGCTTCAGCAAATGTGTTTTATGGTGATTTGCCTTAATGAGACATTATGTCAGAAACTTAGACAAATATATGTCATGTTGTTATGATTAGATTACAAAGTCTGAAAATTAAAAAGTTTTAACACATATTAACAACTAGTAGATAACAGTTTACCTCAGAGGCCCATATTAATGTGCCCTGTGTGAATAGTTCATATATCCTTATTACAGAAATCGTTACTGAATGCATGAGCTAATTCTTCTTGTCCCCCTTTCGCTAATAGCTACATCTTTTGAATTCATTTGTCTTACAGAAATGAATGATGTAAACAACCTAAATTGATATTATAGAAATTCACCCCTATGATTTTTTTTGGAAATAATTTCTGCTGAGCCATTCCAGTAAAACCCAAAAACCAAACCCACTGCCACTGAGTCAATTCTGACTCATAGTAACCCAATAGGACAGAGTAGAACTGCCCCACAGGGTTGCCAAGGCTATAAATCTTTACAGAAGCAGACTGCCTCATCTTTCTTTCACAGTATGGCTGGTGGATTCAAACTGCTGACCTTTTGATTAGCAGCCAAATGCTTTAAATTCCATGCCACCAGAGCTCCTTAATTCCAGTATAATAACTTATAAACAAATTTATTGTTTTTTTCTATCTTAATTTCCATTTATATGTAATACATAAATGGTTTTTGATACATATTATATCATTCAAATATGTGTCCATGACAAGCACATACTCCAATAAATGATATATGAGTGGCTAGAGTGCCTCAAAATTTTGTGGTATGAATTTTCAATTGTATATAATGCATTGATCATGGCTTTAACATGAAAAGGACATAAGTTTAGGCAAAAATTGGGAATCTGTTTCTAAAAATGATATCATAATGAACATCCAAATAAACACCATCATAGCCAAATTTTACTTTGTGCTACATAGTGTTCTGTTTCAAGGTCATAAATCTGTCAGTTTGATACATGGAAAAATATTATATGCATATTTTTTTCAAGATGCTGCAATTACAGATAAGAAAAGATTCTATTCATTGGATTTGGTTTAATAGTCATTCAATGATTGTTGACAATTAAAATGTTCTGTTCAGTGATGATAGAAACAGAACCCCATTTTCAGCACTAACACCATCAAAAGTCCCTCCTACTGCTCCAGGTGACACAGCCACTAGGACCAGAGGCTCAATCAGCATGAACTTCAACCATATTCTGTGCTTTAAATGGCTCTTAACTTTTAAAACTTTAAGGAAAGTTATCAGAGCCTTTAAGAGCTCTGGTGGCATAAGTGTCTAAGGCCTGTGACTGCTAATCAGAAATCTGGCGGTTCAAACCCATCAGTCACTCCTCAGAAGGAAGGTTGGGCAATATATTTCCTCAGTGATACTGCCTCGGAAACCCAAGGAAGGGTCACTATGAGTCGGATTCGACTCAACAGCACTGTTTTTCTTTTTCTTTTTCTTTTATCAAGGCCTTTAAATAAAAGGACAAAGGCAGTCACAGTACGTAAGTTTATGTACTAACTTGTTTAGTTTTCTTAAGATTGGGGCCTGTGGTTTATACATATCGTCTGGAAAGCACAACCTCAGCTACCTGTATCTGGAGTTACTTTCAAGTAGCAGTTTAAATTGCACTTATATTTTCCATGAGATATTTTTCTTAATAATTAATTCAGTATAAAGTACTTTCTAAATTTCAAATGGCATTTTATTAGTAAAATACCAATTGGTTTAAAACAAAGAGTAAATCTATTTTCAGTGTTTATTTTTTGTAAACACATAGTATTATTGAAATCATCAAATAGGATTCAGGACAACTTTCGTAAGTTTAAGGAGCTCTGGTAACACAATGCCTAAGACATCTGACTGCTGCTAACCAGAACTTGGGTGGTTCAAACACACCAGCCACTCCATGGAAGCAAAACTGGGCAATCTACTTCTAATTTACTGCCTCAAAAACCCAATGGGGTTCCCTATGAGTCAGAATTGACTTGATGGCAGTAGGGTTTTTTTTTTGTTGTTGTTTCTTAAGTTTAAAACCCACCAAGACAAACCAAAGCTATTGTCATTGAGTTCATTCTGACTCAGAGTGAGCCTACAGGACAGAGTGGAACTGCCCCATAGAGTTTCCAAGGCTATAAACTTTATGGAAGCAGACTGTCACATCTTTCTGCCGAGAAACAACTGTTGTTATTATGTGCCGTCTAGTCAGACCCAACTCAGAGCAACCCCTCCTTGGGTTTCTGAGGTGGCATCACTGTGGAAGTAGATTGCCCAACCTTCCTTCCGAGGAGTGGCTGGTGTGTTTGAACCACCAGCCTTCTGGTTAGCAGTCAAGTGCCTTAGGCACTATGCTACCAGAGCTCCTTGAGGAACAGCTAGTGGGTTCAAACAACCAATCTTTCAGTTAGCAGCCAAGCTCTTAACCTCTGCACTACCAGGGCTCCTCAAGTTTGAAACCAGTCACCCTCAAATCGACTTCAATTCATGGTGACCCTGTGTATGTCTAACTATACTCCATAGGGTTTTCAGTGGTTGCATTTCATAAGTATAAGAAAGTCAAGCCTTTCTTCCAAGATGCCTTTGGGTGAACATGAACTCCCAACTTCTCAGTTCATAGCCGAGTATATCAATTGTTTGCACCACCCAGGGACTCCTTTTGAAGTTAGCACAGTAACATGATGGCATTTGATAAGAAGGAATCTCTTCCTTTTAGCTCTACCTATAACATAACAATAGTGTTAAAAACATGTTTACAGTGATCAACCATATTTGATTTGAGCAAAGAGACACAGATATTATCAAATCATTCATCAAAGGTACTTAGGGCCCTGAAGCATTTGTCCAGGCCTGTGCCTCACACTTATTTAAATGTCCAGTGTTCTCCAGCTGGAAGATCCTCAAGAAATGGCTAGTTATAATATGAGAACAATTTCTGTAACAACTTACAGCAGTATTTAATAAGCATGGTCATTGTACTAAAATGCTTACTGATTTTAGGACACATGTAATATGCTATAATGAAGATAAATTACATTTATTATAGGCCATTTGAAAACTTACTTTAGAATGAAATCATGTTAACTGAATGCTTTTACTAATGCTTTGTCTGATTCGCATGCTTCATGTAATCTCCATAAGGCCTAGTGCATATTATGGATAGATAGGAGTGCTTAATAGAGGTGAGCTCAACCTCTGTGAACTAAGCCAATTCAATTTAATTAGAATATGTGTCTAATAAATGTCTACTATTATTAGCAATAGGTTGCAGCTAATAAAAAATATAAGAAAATGTATGTATGACCATCTCTAACAAGAAGCTTGAAATACTATTGAGAATATAAAACTCAGCCATAAAACAACTAAAACAGTAAATTTTTAAGAGACCAAATAGAGGTTCACAAAGTGCTAAGAGTTGGGAGTAGGAAGAAGCCGGTGGTTTGACATCTCCCTGATGCTTTTCCAGATATCTGTTTCTTCTAGGATAGGTTGTTTCATGATATATAAATCCAAACATCATATCCCTCATGTTTGTCACTTTGCTTAGGAAACATCTATTCACCAACAGGTATTCCTGACTAACACTGAGAGCCAACCTCTTGCCTCATGTCAAAGAATGTTCATTTGGAATCCAGCATGCAGAGCAGTGTGACAGTGTCTGACTACTTAGGTCATAACTGTCAGAGTAAATTCACCCTCCACGTTCATTTTGCTCTGACTCCTACTGATGCCATTTGGCAGCTCTGTTGGCAGAGTGCCATGCCCTGATCAGCTTCTGTTCTTCCTCATCATCTCTTGTGTCCTCTATATATGCAAAACAGACAAAAGAATGTTTTGTGGGGAGAAAGACATATAGAGAAGACACTGGAAAAATGTACCCTGTCCCTATAGTAATCACTTTTCTAAGTAAATAAAAACAGCTGGTTACTGTCTTGTGACTGGGAGTTCATTGTCATCTATAGGATTGGTGTTTACGGGGGGCTATGTACTTTAACAGGATGCTTTTGCACTTTTCCCAGAGCCAGATAACGGTGAATGGAAACTCTGGTGGTACTGTGAGTCCAATGAATTACTACCAAAGGCCGTTTTCCCCTTCAGCTTACTCTCTACCTGGCTCATTCAGTTCCAGCATTACCATGCAGCATGGTCGATCGCTTGGTAAGTAATTTGATAGTCATGATTTTCATCACAATTTCAATATGGTAACTACAACCCACAAGAGAAGAGTATAAGACATCAGAGTGACTTTTCAAAAAGGAAGCAGAAAGCATTCAATACCCCACTATTTTATGACCCTTCCGTAAGGAGTGGAGTTAGGATTCAATACTGGAGAAAATAGGCACCCAGCTATTCTAAGATAGTGGTTCCATCTGTGGCCAATCCCAAATAGGCCATTAGATGTTTATAGGATAGAGAAAAAGAATATGGCCCAGTTAGGGAAAGGAGAGTTCATACCACTGCAAACATTAATGTATCGTTTTTCCATGGGTAAATACCATCCATGTTTGAGGCAGCACGTCTCTCTATAGAAGAGCTCTCATGGTAGAAAATTATGTTACTAAATATAAGGAAGAATTGCTTAACAGTTGAAACAGACCAACAAGGGGACAGGCTGCCTCACAAAGTAGTCAACTGCTTGACACTGGATTTTTTGAAAAGCCATCATCAGTCAAGAAGGTGAGAGCAGGAAGCCAAGCAAGAAGAACTTAGAGTTCCTTTAAATTATGATTCTATAATTGACTGTAGAGCTAGTTCTTAACCCTTTGGATATTAAGAATTAGATGGAAGATATAGCTCTTCTCCAGAAAAAAAAAAAAATTAGTATATGCACATTCATATAAAATTTAAGCATATAATTTCATGGAGCTCAGGAACTGTTCAAAGCCTCCTGGTAAAGAAGCCATGCCATGTAATGATTTTTTTTTTTTAATGTGGTAAAATATAAATATATTAGGAGGGTTTAGAACATCATAAATACTTCTTAGTGTTCAAAAAAAATTAAAAACAGTTCAAATTGAATCATCATCTAAATTCAGGCTGAAAAAATATCCATGTTGTTGATGAACTCAAAGACTTCCAGAACAGCAGAAGCAGGGAGGAAGGCCCAGGACAAGGCGAATAGAACCCCCTCTTCAGAAAGAGAGGGGAGAACCCATCCTCTCACCACCAACAACCAGCAACAGAGAGACAGACAAACTACCATTCCTATTTTATGGGCAGGTAGCACCTCCCCTTCCTCACGGATTCGTGTGTTGAAAGAACACGTTGCTATTAGACTCAGAGGAAAATTTTATGTTGCCATCCAGCATGTGCATTGTGAAACTCAGCTTCCGTGGTCAACAAAAACTTCATAACTCTAAGACTTTAAATGTAGCTGTGGGACTCATTAAAGAAAAGTATAAATATACTTATGCCTTCTCTAATGCTGCTCCTGGGGATCATCTATGAATATGAATCTTATAATGAAGTCCTTTTAGAGTACAACAAAGTAGAACTGCCTTGTGCCAACATTTTGCCCTTGAGCAATCAGTACACTAGTGTTGAATTATAATGGGAACTCACTGTATCCAGATTTTTTTCTTTTTTTTTTTTTTTTGTGGTGGAGCTATGCATTCACTCATATAGAGTGAAATCCTACAAATTATTTTAGCCCTGACGTTTTCCCAAATTATAATTATCAAAGTGTTCTCTTTTTCCTATTGCCTGTTTTAATGAATACAGTCTCTCCTGCCTAATATCAAAAATAGTATGAATGAAATAGGTTTTGATTTTAGAACATATCGAAAAGTAGATTTTACACGTAAACTATGGTACATGGAAAAAATTCCCTGGACATGGGGCAAATTCCAATTGGCCAGTGTCAAGAATGGCCCTGAGGAGACTATACAAGTCTACTCTACCCAAGAGGAATTTTATATTTAGCTGAGGAAAACAGCCTTCAAAAGTGAGGGTCAGATCTTTATGATCCCGTAGGTTTTTCATTGGCTAATTTTCAGAAGCAGATCACGAGGCCTTTCTTCCTAGCCTGTCTTAGTCTGCAACCTCCACTGAAACTAGCCTAGTATCAGAGCAACACACAAGCCTCCGCTGAAAGACGGGTGGCGGCTACACAGGAGATGGATTCACTGCGGTCAAACTAAGTCTCCCACATGCAAGGCAAGAATTCTGTCACTGAGCCCCCACTGCCCCGGTCTCCCAAGATTACTAGGAAGATCAAATGAGGCCCCGGAGGTAAAGAGCTTACTTAGTGTAGTGTCTGCCACACAGTCATTCAACAAATGTTACTCTTCCCCTTACTATTCTTTCTAAAATGGTAAGGTTCTTGATGTTATAAGCCTGTTAAATGTATACCTACAGGTTAATAATAAGTTGCTCAAATTTAAAGTAAGAGTTAAAGGAGATCATGATGGAAATAGAGACTTTATGTTACACTTGGCATAAATGTACAAGGATAAACACCATTGCTTCATGATCCTCTGTGCATCACGTACGTTATATTTCACCACATTTCTCTGCAGATTCCACAGATCTGTATCCCCAGCATGCACAGTCTCTGGACGGCACCACAGGCAGCTCCATACCGCTGTACAGATCCTCAGAGGAAGAGAAGAGAGTGACAGTTATCAAAGCCCCCCACTACCCAGGGATTGGGCCTGTGGATGAATCCGGAATCCCCACAGCAATTAGGACGGTAGGGAATGCCAGTGTGTGTGTCACTCTGGGAGTGTGCACAGACAGTACAAAGGATGGATTGTCAATGGTTTCATGCATTCCTACAGTCTTATATAATGAGGATCGTGCTCTGTGCCATCTGAGTTCTCATGAATATTATGCTGTGTGTAGTAGAGAAAGAGAACTGTTGATTGAAAATAACTGTATATTTAAGTGATCATCTCAATTTTTCCATTTTAATTAAAATTCATCAAAATTGTGATTTTGTTTAAATGATAAAACTAGGTATTGTACCTTCTACTAAGGAGTGGTAGCACAATAGAGAGAAAAGAGAAGGAGTAAGAACATGTGAATTCTTTGGCTGAATTGAGTTCCCACATGCATTGCAAATAAGCCAGTGGTTTGTTTCTTGAAATGGATGTGTGTTAACACCAGAGTTTGGGAGCTGTGAATTGGGAGTTGGGAAGTAAGATGTTTGGGGTGTAGGGAGCTAATGTCATTGAAGAGAAAAGCTGTCTGAAGAAAAATACACGTTTCAGTATCCTATTCAGCTGTGCCTGCTGAGAACTCTCCAGGGATGATAAGTGAAAGTGTTTGGATTTTTTTTTTTTTTTTTTTTTTTAAGTCTTTAAACTCTGCCAAAGCACTGCTCTGCGTGTCAGGGCAGCCCCTTCTGGCAAAGCTCAGCACTAGCAGAAAGTTGGGCAGACAGCTGCTTGCTGACCAGGTCCACTTGAACAGAAGGTCTGTGCTAGCTGGTGAGAAGGAAGACTGTGAAAAGCAGGATGAGAGCAGCAACACCTCTGCAGGTGAAGTTGGGGGGAGGTGCCAGAATGGAGCTGTGGCTGCATGCACGTGGCCTGACAACATCTGCATAAAGGGCTGGGGAGTTGCCGAGGGCTACTTCTCCAGAATGAAAACATGGGGAGCAGAAGAAAGTAATGGGTAGGGGAAAAGAATGGGAAATATATATTAAAAAATAATAAGACTTTTACAACAGTGGTGTGATTGGAAATACTCAAAGAGGACTCGAGACCAAATGTAACAGTGTTCTTCCTTTCTTCCTAAATATATATTTATTATATGGGGAGTATGAGTTCTATATTAAGAAAGAAGAGTGAAAAATTGATTATTCTAGACATCTGTATTAGAATTAGAAGTAAAAAAAATAAATAAATCCATATAGCACTTGCTGGGTTTTAAACTAGTAAGATTGTGGAAACATTGTGGTGTGACTGATTAGAAAGTCCTAAAAATCAACGTTGCCATATTTAAGTGACAGAAAAAGCTCAGAGATTGCAGATAATATTTCTAGTCTTATGCAGATTATGTTTCCAGTGATGGTGTTTTGTCATTTGCTTACTTGTTAAGATTTCTGATTCCACAAATGGATTTTTTTTTTTTTCTGATAATGTAGGGATACAAGAGGTATGCTTAGTTTTATATAACTGATGCTTGAAGTGTAGTAGATACACAAATTAAGAGTCCTTAATTCTAAATGATTATAGATTCTGTCTGAAAAGATTTTACCCAAAACCTCTAGGTGTGTTTTTAAGTCTATAAACGATATATAAAAAGGAACTAGTAAACATGGTCCATTGCTTTCGTCCTGAAGACATAATTTTCTTAACCAGCAACATCTTGGCTTTCTTCATTTTTAAAGAGGAAAACTAAGGTGTTATAGATGGGTAAGGAAAATGAAATAATATTAAAATTTTTATATAGTTTCCTTATCTGCTGCCAGATCAAAATGGTAGTTAGATATGCATAACCACAAACAAATACTAAGCTTTTAATGGTATTTATTGTCTGTGAAATACAAGCAACCCAGAAGTTCCTTATAAGGAACCATGGTTTTAATGTACTGTTGTGCTCTTGCTTAGGCCTTTAAACTTTACAAAGAAGGCGTGGGTCTGTGCAGTCTCTTCTCTTATTCACATTTACTATTTTTCAGCCCTGCAGAGCACATCCAAGTATAGCTGTGTTTATAAATGTTCAGTCAAACCATCTCTGAGCCACAGCAGGCCAAGAATCTCCAAGGCTGTTTTTCATTCTCATTGGTGTAGAAAGTAATGATGATCAGATTCCAAATTGCTTCATATTAGCTTTCTGCGCAGACCACCAAAGGCACTATTGTCTCAATATCTCGTATTATGGTATCATTGTAGACAACCAGCATATACCTAGGAAACAGAAATTTACATTGTAACTCAGAAATTCTAGAAAGCTGAGAGTCAACAAACAGTACCTTTGAGTTATTTTATTGAAGAGAAGCGGCTTCCCAGCTTGTGTTCTCTCATGTGACCTGGGATGTCTCTGTTAGTCTTTTACTGCCATTCTTAACAACAACAAAAATCACCAGGGCTCAGGTCCCGTGAGATTATGTAATTTAAGGCCAGCTAGTTAAGTGAAATGTAAGATTCTTCTCTACTAGTGCAAATATAACACTTGTTTGAGCGTTTTCCAAGCAAAAACAGACCAGAATATCTCTACTAGTGTGTAGACAAAGTGTGCGTCTTTTTCCATGTTGGAAGTCTCTGCCTGTTAAATGTAGAGCTCTCAGGCTTTGCAAATTCCCAAAAGGTGAAAATTCATGTATATTCAGTCAAGATTACAAAAAAACAGCTGAATAGAGAGTTTCTAATAGTGACTGTCCACCCAAAATAATTTTGAAAGATACATACAGAAGTAAACTTCCTCCAATTCAAGCAGACTTCTCTTGGCTTAATCTCAGTATTAGGCATACTCCTCTGACTTATAAAAAGGACCTTTAAATTTCTGAACTTAAAAAAAGGAACTTAGAGTACTTCTTTTAGAAAGGGACACAGAGTTTTAGTCTTCCCTTGTACCAGTTTCATATTGCCCTTTGCCAGTGGACTGAGCATTTCCTGGCATCTCTGTGCTCACCATATAAAGCGAGCAGATGGCACAACTGTGAGATCCTGTCTGATATTTGCCCTCCAGCAAGTGGGGGAAAAATTCCTGTCTGTCAGGACACATTGCCATATACAGTGGTATAACTTACTTATTAGGTTTCCTTGTTGCTATTGGCTGTGTCCAGGTATGGTTGGAAAATATTTTTGCACAAAGATATGTCTTATTTTCTGTTGCTTTACTATAAAGGAAATAAAGCTTAATGAAAGAGAAATAGGTCTTATAAGAAACTAAATGCCTCTTAAAGATACATGTTCTGCTACTTTGTGTGAACCAGCAAAAAGTAGCTAGACTCCTGCTCTGGTGGCATAATGCCTGAGGCATTTGACTGCTAACCAGAAGGCTGGCAGTTCAAACCCACCAGCTACTCCTCAGGAGGAAGATTGGGCAATCTACTTCCATAGAGATACAGCCTCGGAAACCCAAGAAGGGGTCACTATGAGTCAAATCGACTCAATGGCAGTGAGTTTTTGAGTGAGTGTTCAATCAGCTCTGACCATTTGACAATATATTCAATCAATATTACAATGCCTTCAATTTTTCCACAGTAGAAAAAGCCTAGAATGAAGGAAGAGGTGATTTGCAGCAAAGTCAAGTCACCCTTAATATTAGTTTATATTTGTGGAGATAATCAAAATTATATATTCTTAGAGATCAAAATCAGTTTAGCTATGGCATATAACCCTCAGTTTCCAGAAGGAAAATGTAATGACCACAGTCTGCAAGGAAAAACAGGCTATAAAATCTAAAGTAAAGGTCAGTCTAACAAGTGCAAGGATATTTTTCTGGCAGTCCTAAGAGAATATTTTAAATCAAGAGGATTGTCTTGGGAAATCTAGAATATTTAGTTACTATAGCTCTAGAGGGAGCTCTGGTAGCATAGTCCCTAAGGCATTTGACTGCTAACCAGAAGGTTGGTGGTTCAAACCCACCAGCTACTCCTCAGAAGGAAGGTTGGGCAATCTACTTCCATAGTGATACTACCTTGGAAACCCAAGGAGGGGTTGCTATGAGTCGGATCCAATTCGACAGCAGTGTGTTTGGTTTGGTTTGGTAGCTCTAGTGGCTCAGTGTTTAGGGCATTTGGCTGCCAATCAAAATGTCTGTGGTTCAAACCCACCAGCTGCTCTGTGGAAGAAATATGAAACAGTCTGCTTCCACAAAGATTTATCTTGGATTTACTTTGGATTGCCTTGGAAACCCTATGGGGGTCGCTATAAATCAGAATCAACTTGATGGCAGTTAGTTTTTTGGAGTTTGGTACAGAGTCCATGAAATTTCTTGCCCAAGTAGCTTCTGGAAGAGTTAGGGTATAGGTCTGGCCCATTAAAGTCTTTATTTATGATCATAAAAGCATATGTCTGTATTTCACAGGATGCACTAAAGTAAGATTTCATCCATTAACCTAAATTCGTTCATTATTCCACAAACATTTGAGATTCCCCTACTGTTATTATTAAGTGGGCATTTATTATATTCCAGACACTATTCTGTACCCTTTTGTTATATTATCTCATTCAATTTTCACAGTACTTCAAGAGGTAGATATAATTATTTTAAAGAAAATAATATTGCGCCTCTAAAAGTTGTATTAACTTGTCCAGATTCATATTGCTAACAAGTATTAAGCAGTAAGTAAAGAACGAACATTTGGATCTAAGATGACCTAATATTAAGTTCATGATTTTTCCACTACAGTTTATTGCTTCTACTGTCAAAAGTCTCAGTGCCTACGGGAGTTTACTCTCAAAGGACTTTCAATTTAACAAGGCAAATTGTGGGTGCATATATATTTAGATGATAATTTATTAACATGTTAAAGAAATTTCAAAACAATGTCCACATTTTAAGCTTTGCCCTAGGACTATGGTCTATTATAGTCAGTGTTTTAGCAACTTTGACTAGTAGATGTCAAATTTCTTTCTCTGTGTCTAAGCTGATCAGAACACAGCTTAAATCAAAAATATTTACTAGTGTATTCTAAAACTAATGCCTGGAACAGAACTTGGATAAAAAGTTCTTAAAGACAATGGCAACACCGCAAAGAGTTAAGCAAACTATTACAGTTATAACTTTTATTCAATGTTGTTGCTAGGTGCCATCAAATTGGTTGACTCATAGCAACCTAATGTGTAACAGAATGAAACACTGCCTGCTTCTGTGCCATCCTCACAATTATTATACTTGAGCCCATTGTCGCAGCCACTGTGTCAATCCATCTCATTGAGGGTTGTCTTATTTTAAGCTGACCATCTATTTACCAAGCATAATATCCTTCTCCAGGTACTGGTCCTTCCTAATAACATGACCTATGTATATGTATAAGAGGCAAAGTCTCGCCATCCTTACTTCTAAGATCTGCTTGTTCTCTGGCAGTCCACATTATATTTAATATTCTTCCCCAACACCAACTTGTAAGATGACAGCAAGGACATCATACATGACAAAAGCAAATGGCCATTAAAAAGACAGAGAAGGGAAGAAAAGACCAAAATGATTGTCAGAAGAAACTCGGATCTTGCCATTGAATGTAGAGTAGCTAAAGAAATGATGAAATAAAAAAAAAAACTGAATGGAAGATGTCAAAGGGTAGCAAGAGAAGGCAAAGTAAATTATTATAATGAAATGTGCAAAGACCTGGAGTTGGAAAACCAAAAGGAAGAACACGGTTGGCATTTCTCAAACTGGAAGACATGGATAAAAAAATCAAGCCTCTAGTGGCAATATTGAAGGATTCTATGGGCAAAATATTAAATAATACAGGAAGTGTCAAAGGAAAATAGAAGGAATACAGAAAGTCACTGTGCCAAAAAAAAAAAAAGAAAAACTGGTTGACTCCCAACCATTTCAGGAGGTAGCGTATGATCAAGAACTGATGGTATGGAAGGAAGAAGTCCAAGCTGCGCTGAAAGCATTGGCAAAAACAAGTCTCCAGGAATTGAAGGGATACCCATTGAGATGTTTCAACAAACAAATGCAACACTGGAAGTGCTCATTCGTATATGTCAAGAAATTTGGAAAACAGGTACCTAGCCAACTGACAGGAAGAGATCCATATTTATGCCCATCCCAAAGAGAGATGATCCAATAGAATGTGGAAATTATTGAACAATATCATTAATATTACATGCAAGTAAAATTTTGCTGAAAATAATTGTTAAAAGGTGGCAGTGGTACAGAGACAGGGAACTACTAGAAATTCAAGCCAAATTCAGAATAGGATGTGGAATGAGGGATATCATTGCTGATGTTGGATGGTTATCGGCTGAAAGCAAAGACTACCAGAAAGATGTTTACCTGTCTTTTATTGACTATGCAAAGGTAAATGACTGTGTGTATTATAATACATTATGAATAATGTTGCAAAGAATGGGAATTTCAGAACAATTAACTATGCTTATGAGGAACTGCACATCGACCAAAATGCAGTCATTCAGACAGAACAGAGGAATATTGCATCTTTTGAAATCAAGAAAGTTATGTGTCAGCGCTGTATCCTTTCACCATACTTATTCAATCTGTATGCTGAGCAAATAATCTAAGAAGTTGAACTATATGAAAAAGAATGCAGCATCAGAATTGGAGGAAGACTCATTAACAACCTGCAATATGCAGATAATACAAACTTTCTTGCTAAAAGTGAAGAGGACTCGAAGCACTTATGATGAAGAACACTATAGGCTTCAGTATGGATTACACCTCAATGTAATGAAAACAAAAATCCTCACAACTGGACCAATAAGCAAAATCATAATAAACAGAGAAAATATTGAAGTTTTCAAGAATCTAATTTTCCTTGTCTCCACAGTCAATACCCGTGGAAGCAGCAGTGAAGAAATCAAAGGGCATATTGCATTGGGAAAATCAGTAGCAGAAGACCTCTATGAAAGAGCAAAGATGTCACTTTGAAACTAAGGTGCACCTGACCCAAACCATGGTATTTTCAATCACCTTGTATGCCATATGCTTGCAAAAGCTGGGCAATGAATAAGGAATACCACAGAAGAATTGAAGCATTTGAATTACAGTGTTGGTGAAGAATATTGAATATAGCAAGGACTGCCAGAAGAACAAACAAATCTATCTTGGAGGGAGTACAGCCAGAATGTTCCTTAAAAGAGAGGATGGTGAAACTTTGCCTCTCATATTTTGGTGATGTTGTCAGGAGAGACCATTCCCTGGAGAAGGATATAATGCTTGATAAAGTAGTGAGTAAGTGAAAAAGAAGACCCACAAGGAGATGGGTTGATACAGTGAATGCAAAAAATGATCTCAATCATAGCAACAATTGTGGGGATGGCACAGGACTGGCAGTGATACTTTCTATTGTACGTCGGTCATTATGGGTCAGAATCAACAGGATGACACCTAGCAGCACCAATCAACATCATAATTCAAATGCATCAGTTCTTCTTTGGTCTTCCTCATTCATGCCCAGCTTTCATGTGCATATGAGGTGGTTAGAAATACCATGGCTTGGGTCAGGTGCACCTTAGCCTTCACAGTAACTTCTTTGCTCCTTAACGATTTAAAGAGGTCTTTTGCAGCAGATTTGTCCAGTGCAATATGTTGTTTGATTTCTTCACTGTTGCTTCCATGGGTGTTGGTTATGGATCCAAATAAAATTAAATCCTTGACAACTAACTTCAATCTTTTCTCCATTTATCATGATGTTGCTTATTAGTCCACTTGTGACATTTATATAAATATGTCGGTGCAAATATTAGCTATTTAGTGCCAAGCAAAGTTATTATTTGAAAAAATAAAATAAAATCATGGCATCTAATGTCACAACTCAGAGTAATGACAAAAACGGGTAATATATTAGAAGCTGCATACATAACTGGGTAAATTGCTGTTGTTATCATCATATCATAGTAAAGGGTAAGGAACTTTTATCAAGAAATAAAAATCTACTATTAAAGAAGATAAAATATACAAAGAAAAACATTGAGGAACAATGTTTTTGAAACCAGTTTTGCAACTAATGGGCATTTTTTTTTTTATAGACAGTTGACAGACCGAAGGACTGGTACAAGACAATGTTTAAGCAAATTCACATGGTACACAAGCCTGGTATGTATGATTTTCTGGTTTCTGATCAGGTCCTTGTGGGTTAAAGGATATATTCTCATGTTTTATATAGTTACTGTTGACACAAAATGCTCAGACCATAGCAAACATCATGGCCTCCCTCTTTCTTTCTAATGTCCTCCTTATACCATCCCTCAAGTCACAGACACCTGTGCCCCCTGCCTCAACCTGAGCTGCCAATAGCCTTTCAAGGTGCCCCTTGGAGGAATGCCAGGTGCTCTGGTCTTTTCTCCTGGTCCTTCCCTATCCACAATCTAACTTGTGTGTTGTCTGCTTGAACAGATACATTATTCCTCTGTCCCTGTATGTCCACTCCTTATCAGGAGAGTGAAGGTAGGTAGGACTGACTGCACCTGCTCAGTGCAGTTGACAAGAGTTCTTTAAAACACTTCCCAAAGGAAATACAAGGTGCCTAAGATGGCACAGTTTGCACTGGACTGCTAACCTAAAGGTTGCCAGTTTGAACCCAGCAGCACTACAAAAGGAAAGGCCTGGCAATCCACTTCCTTAAAAATTACAGCCAAAAAAATTCTATGGTGCAGTTCTACTCTGTAACACATGGAGTCTCTGTGAGTCATAATCAGCTCAATGGTAACTAACAGTAACAAAGGAAATGTGTGATCCAGAAGAGAAGGCTGCCTGGGGAAGTGAGGAAAAGGGAAGGACGTTGCGTGCAGTGAGGAGGACAAAAGGCCCTCTAAGTGATAGCAGATATGTAACAGACAAGAGAGGTCCTCTGCAAAAAGCAATATTCGGGGGGAAAAAATGGTATGAACTAGGAAATATGCTGGTTTTCTAACAAATTTCTGCTATTTCTCTGAAATTCTGCTGTGTTGTTATATGATATGGTGACAGAACCTGTATTACCATATTTATGTTTCATTTTCTAGATGATGACACAGACATGTATAATACTCCTTATACATATAATGCAGGTAGGATGGGTTTCCTTGCTTGCAATGAATATTTTTTGCTCCGCGATGCTTGGAAGAGCAACATAGTCACCTTTTGACCACTGTTTGAGCACACGTTTTTAGTTTATATAATTAGGAGGATCCTCTTTTTTTTTCTTTTCTCATAGCATGCATAACAAAAGGATTGATCTTTTCTCATGGAAATGAGAACTAATACTGTTTAATCTCATTCATTCCCACTGTTAGTTTATTCTCAGCTTCAGGAATATTTAACCAAAGTGTAAAGAACTGCATGAAAGAACCTACTGTGCCGGGCTACAAAATAAGATAAAGATCTTCTTTTATCAGTAGAGAGAGAGAGAGTGATTACAATTGCATAAGATCTTTCAGGTACACTTCTTAAAAAACAAGTCAAGCAAAGTATTGTGTGACCTTGTCCCTGCTTTTGCTCCAAAGTGCTGCCATTCATTGAAACAGGGGGGAAAAAATCTCACTTTGCAGGGGCCACTGACTCAGAGTTACCAGTGGTCTTGATGAAATGGTTTCAGTTCTGGGCATTTCCACTTGTATTTGAATATGTTGGCATTTCATGAAGTGGTCTGTAGGCTGCAGAAATAGACCCCTAAAAGGTGTTTCCCTGTGTGGCTTTCTCCAGGATGTGGCATTATGGAATCCCACGTGAGGCCTCCTCTCTCTGTGCAGCCTCAAGCCCAAACCTGTTACACAGTCAATTGTTTTCCTTTTGTTCAGGGCAGGCCCCGGGCTCAGTCCGCTTACCCCTCCTTCTGCAGCTGCAACCTCACTTAGGGGTCTTCTTGCTAATCTGGCCATGGAAGTGCTTGAGATCCTCCCTACCTTGATGCCTGAAGACAAGCACGCAGGCCCTTTTCCTTTTAGGGATTTTGCCACTTGTCTCCAAAGAAGAAAAACAAATATAATAGCCTTGTTGTTGTTGTTGTTATTTGCCATCGAGTGGCCTTAGCAAGCTGCAAAAGGAGCTCTGATGGCACAGTGCCTAAGGCATTTGACTGCTAAACAGAAGGTTAGTGGTTCAAACCCACCAGCCACTCCGCAGAAGGAAGACTGGGCAATCTACTTCCATAAAGGCTTGTTGTTGTTGTTATGTGCCGTTGAGTCAGACCCCACTCATAGCGACCCCTCCTTGAGTTTCCGAGGCAGTATCACTACAGAAGTAGATTGCCCCATCTTCCTTCCAAGGAGTGGCTGATGGGTTTGAACCTCCAGCCTTCTGGTTAGCAGTCAAGTGTCTTAGGCACTATGCTACCAGAGCTCCCCATAAAGGCTTAACAGCCTTGGAAACCCAGTGGGGATGGCTATGAGTTGGAACCGACTGAATGGCAGTGGGTCTGGGTTTTTTTGTTTGTTTTTGCTTTTTAGCAAGCTGCAAGGCCACTGGTTGTAGATCCTGGCTCCCCCAGAAGATAGCAGAAGCCCACTCAGATACTTCCTTCAACTATTATTCCTGTGGCAGAAATGGTTAAGAGCTAGTGGTGCAAATCCACCAACAGTGATGCCTCAGAAGAAAAGCCTGGTGGTCTACTTCTAAAAGATCACAGCCATTAAAAACCCTATGGAGGGCCACCCTACTCTGAACTACAAAGGCTAAACCCTATGGAGAGCCATCCTACTCTGAACCACATGGACTTGCCAGGAGTTGGAATCAACTCCATGGCAACTGGTTTGGTTGGGGGTTTTTATTATTCCTGGGGATGAGTACACCAAACTCACTTCTGGGAGCTCTGGTGGCATAGTGCCTAAGGCATTTGACTGATACCCAGAAGCCTGGTGGTTCAAACCCACCAGCCACTCCTCGTAAGGAAGGTTAGGCAATCTACTACTGTAGTGATACCACCTCAGAAACCCAAGGAGGGGTCATTGTGAGTTGGATCCGACTGGATGGCAGTGATTTTGGTGGTTTTAGAAAGTTAAAATCTGACTGTGAAATGGAGGTCAAATACTTAGTGCTGACTTTGTCACTTAATCTTTGTCACTGAAATTCTCCTGGATCTTCGAGAGAAGCAGGAGAGTAAAAGAGAGAGGTTTCAGGCAATCAAAAGTTTTTATAACTTTTTTGATGCTAAAGTTTGTATCACATACATTAGTAAATTGAAAGTAATTGTGTATTCCCTTGTAGAGCCCTCTAGAGATAATTTAGTTTTATCATTTAACCAACAGAGAAAGCAACTGCCACTGGTCTCTTCACTGCCTCCTCACCCTTCCTCCCATTGCTCTCTGTTTTGCTCTTTTCTGCTACTTTTTTCTATGCTACCCTTGCTACCTTCTTCGATCAAATCCCCAGACTAGCCAGACTAATCCTTCAGGGCCAACTGTTATCCCACTGGTGCCATGATACCTTCTCTGACCAATCCAGCATCTTCTGACGTCCTTAATTCTTAATGTGTATTTTCCTCATTTGGCCTGTATCATGTAGTACAGATTATTTTTAATCATCATTCTGTTTTTGGCTCATTCCCCAAATGCACTATAAGCTCATTGAGGGTTAATGTTTTTTGTGCCTTGCCCAGCACCTTATACATATAACTTGTCAGTTTTTTATGTGATAGTAGTTAGCATGCCAATCGTCATAAGGAAATTATAGCTTTTAAAATACTGGAAGATACTTGAAAACAGTTCTGTTAACTGATTTTAATGTTGTTCTGAAACTTCAACTATGTTATTAGTTTATCTTACAAAGGAGAAAATTTGGTGAGTACTTGTAATTTATGCCTAATGGCAACCTGAATTATAACTAATTCTAAGTAATTAATGAAAATTCTCTGTAATCAATGTTCATGTATAGAATGAATTAGTAAAGAATAATACTCATAATAATTAATTAAAAATATGCAGTCCAATATATGCATTGTGCATATGTTTATTGATAATAATTTTGGTAATATCTTTGGATATTTGGTTATTTATGAGAAGTACATATGTTTAATGCACTTTTAAAATGTTATTTCCTTCTGGATTTTTTGTTTGTCTGTTTTTTTCATGATAGGCCTGTACAACCCACCATACAGTGCTCAGTCACACCCTGCGGCAAAGACCCAGACCTATAGACCTCTCTCCAAAAGCCACTCCGACAATGGAACTGATGCCTTTAAGGACGTATCTTCCCCTGTGCCTCCCCCACATGTTCCGCCTCCAGTCCCACCACTTCGACCAAGAGATCGGTCTTCGACAGAAAAGTAAGGCATTTTCCCCGGAAGTGGTCTATATGCTGTTGTTGTTGTTGTTAGGTGCTGTCAGATCAGCTCCAACTTATAGCGACCTTATGAACAATAGAACGAAACACTGCCCGGTCCAGTACTACATCAGACAGTGTTTCACTGCTGTTCATAAGGTATTTCCTGGCCAATTCTTTGAGAAGTGGATGGTCCCTTCCTTCTTCCAAGTCTGTCTTAGTCTGGTAGCTCCACTGAAACCTGTCCACCATGGGTGACCCTGTTGGTATTTGAAATACCTGTGGCATAGCCTCTGGCCTCACAGAAACACACCAGCCATGACAGTAGGACAGACTGACAGATGAGTGGTCAGTTTATCCTATAGCATAGGATAAAAATAAGGTCACATAGCATATGGTGAAAGAATCAGTGCTTTCCTTATAGAGATAATGTGTATGTGATCTTATTAGTCACTACATGTATCATATTGACATCCTCTATCAAGATTATAGGCACTCTAGTGGTGCAGTGCCTAAGGCATTTGACTACTAACCAGAAGACTGGTAGTTCAAACACGTCAGGTGTCCTGCCGAAAAAAGATGGGGCAATCTACTTCCATAAAGATTACGGCCTTGGAAACCCAATGGAGGTCACTATAAATTGTAGTCAATTCAACGGCAATGGGTTTTTTTGTGTTTTTTTTTAGTATTGAGATTATAGCAAACTATAGATTACTTTCACAATCTTGATTCATAATATTATAGTGAACGAAGTTGGATATAGTCTCTATTATTTTGATCAATAAATGCATTTAAGAAGTCAAATATATAGAAAAAATTAACATGCATTTTTCTTGATATACTTGGGTTGTACAAACATTTAACACCCTCACCTGCTAACCAAAAGGCAATCTAATTTTGAAAACTCTGTGGAGCTCAGCTCTACTATAACACACATGAGTCAGAGTCAACTCAATAGCAGCTGGTTTTATTTCTTTTAATATAGGTGGTTAGAGACTATGCAGTTATTTTTCAGTTTCCTCATATTTGAAATGCTAGTTTTGTTAATCATTTTAAATTTTTCCTCTGGCACACAAAAATATCGTTTTGAGGCAGGAAGATCATTCATAAATCATAATTAACACTTTAGTTAATAAGTGTCTCTCTGTGACCTATTTCCACCAACCTTTCAAGATGATACTAATACTCATTTCTCCACTGAAATATTTTTATAGAAATTATTCACACCAAAATAAAGATTTATAAACATACTTTTATAGTGTCATTTTTTTTAGGATTATGACTAATAATCCTACTTATAAGTGACCTTTCATAAGAGCGCACTATGAGCCAGCCACTAGGCTATGCACTTTTCCTGTGCTATATCATTTGATTCTGAGAACAACCGAATGAGATATGTTCTATTTTAAATCAACTTTATTTATTTATTTTTATTTTTGCAGTGTTTCCTCCCCTCCCCTCACACCCCTGGTAGCCAACAAAGACAGTTTCCTTCCATGTATAAACCTTTTCTTGACTTTTTTTACAATAATGAACTAACACAATATTTGTCCTTCTGTGATTGACTTACTTCACTCAGCATAATGCCCTCCAAGTTCATCCACATTATGGGGTGTTTTGCAGATTCTACATTACTCTTTAGTGTTGCATAGTATTCTATTGTATGTGTGCACCACAGTTTGGTTACTCATTCTTCAGGTGATGGACATCTAGGTCGTTTCCATCTTTTGTAAACAGTGTTGCGATGAACATGGGTGTGCATATATCTGTTCTTGTCCTGGCTCTCACTTCTTTAGAATATACCCAGTGATGGGATTGCTAGATCAAATGGTATTTCTAATTGCAACTTTTTAAGGAATTGCCATACTGCACCCCACAGTGGTTGTATTATTTGACAGTCCCACCAGCAGTATGTGAGAGTCTCTGTCTCTCCACATCCTCGTCAGCATTTGTTATTTTCTGTCTTGTTGAAATTTGCTACTAGTGCTGGGGCAAGATGGTATCTCATTATTGTTTGATTTGCATCTCTCTAATGGCTACGGCTGGCGGTTCAAACCCACCAGCCACTCCTCGGAAGGAAGGTTGGGCAATCCTACTTCCGTAGTGATACTGCCTCGGAAACCCAAGGAGGGGTCGCTATGAGTCGGGGCCGACTCAACGGCACTTAACAACAACAACAACAAATGGCTAATGATTGTGAACATTTCTTCATGTGTTTGTTGGCCACCTGAATATCCTCTTTGGTGAAGTGTCTATTCATGTCTTCTGCTCATTTTTTAATTGGATTATTTATCTTTTTGTTGTTGATGTGTTGGAGTTTTCTATAAACTTTAGAGATAAGTCCCCTGTCAGATATGTCATTGCTGAATATTTTTTCCCAATCTGTAGGTTCTCTTTTGACTCTTGGAAAAATCTTTTGAAGCACATAAAATTTTAATTTTTAGAAGGTCCCATTCATCTAGTTTATCTTCTGCTGTTTGTGCGTTTTGTAAGCGTATTTTACAGAGAAAGAATCTGCAGTTTGGAAAATTAAAGCAACTTGCTCAACCCATACAGCTAGTCTGTCCAAGGCAAGAATCAGACTCAGCTCTGAGAAAATACAAAGCCCACACTAGACTGTCAATTAATAAATAAGTATATAAAATTATACACTACTAATACTAGTTATTAAGCATCTTTCTATTACTCTCATCCCAGAAAAATTGTATTCAGTACTTCATCGTTCCCTTAAGAGTAATGGATGATCATATATGGTATAGGATGCCATGAAATTGACATACATTATATCTAAAGGGATTCTCATTTTAGTACCAATCTTTTCATGATTAATTATGTGTTTAGAAAGTGTTATAGCTTAAAATTTGAGAAATAGTTGTCTAGACACAAAATGGTTCTATAAAAAATAGAACCAAAAATGAACTCAGATTTAAATGTACCATTTTTCCTATGTGTTTAATAGAAATAAATTTCTCTATTAAGAAATATATACAACCCCTTAGAAATCTCTAGATGCCTTACATATACACCGTCTCGTGTAATGCTCAAAATACCTCTGTAAGGAAGGAGGGACACCGTTTTACTATCTGCATTTTATGGGTGAAAAACATTGTGACAAAAAAGCTAAGGAGTTTGAATTTTACCGTCACGTTAGTAGAAAGCCAGAACTTGCCTCTAATTCTTTGGTCTCTTGTTGTTGGGGTTGCATGCCTTGAGTCAATTCCAACTCATAGTGACATTAAAGGGCAGAGTAGAACAGTCCCATAGGGTTTTCTGGGCTGAAATTTTTTCAGGAGCAGATAACCAGGTCTTTTCTACCCACAGAGTGGCTGGTGGGTTCAAAACATAGACCTTTCAATTAGCAACCCAAAGCTTAAACGTTGCACCACTATGGCTCCTAGCCATAGTCATAGCCATGCTTGAGACCATCATCACAGCCACTGTGTCAGTCCATCTCATAGAGGGTTTTCCAGTTTTTTTTTTTTTTTTTTGGCTGACCTTCTACTTTGTCAAACATGATACCCTTCTCCAAGAACTGATGCCTTCTGACAACATGCCAAGTACAAGAGATGAAGTCTAGCCATTCTTGCTTCTAAGGAGCACTCATGTTGTACTTCCTCCACAACAGGTTTGTTTGCTCTTCTAGCAGCCCATGTCCATGGTATTCAAGCTTCTTCACCAACACCACAATTCAAATGCATTAATTATTCTGTTCTCCTCCTTATTCATTGTGCAGCTCTTATGTGCATATGAGGCTATTGAAAATACCATGACGTGGATCAGGTGCACCTTAGTCTTCAAAGTATTTTTGCTCTTTAACACTTTAAAGAGGTCTTATGGAGCAGATTTGCCCAAAGCAATAGGTCCTTTGATTTCTTGACTGCTGCTTCCATGGGTGTTTTATTGTGGATCCAAGTAAAATGCAATCCTAGACCACTTCAATCTTTTCTCATTTACCATGATGTTTCTTATGGGTCTAATTGTGAGAATTATTGTTTCATTATGTTGTATAGCTAGCTGTCCTCTTTGATTTTCATCAGGAAGTGCTTCAAATATGCTTCACTCTCAACAAGCAAGGTTGTGTCATCTGCATATCTCAGGGTGTTAATAATTAATCTTCCTCCAATCCTGATGCCACGTTCTTCTTCATATAGTCCAGTTTCTCAGATTATTTGCTCAGCATACAGATTGAATAAGTATGGTGAAAGGATAAAACCCTGACACACACTTTTCCTTATTTTAAACCATGAAGTATCCCCTTGTTCTGTTTGAACAACTGCCTCTTTTTCTATGTACAGTTCCTCATTAACAGAGCACAATTAAGTGTTCTGGAATTATGTTATCCATAATTTTTATGATCTGTCTCTTAGAGCACTTCATTTCTAATCTGCCACAGAGTCAGAATTCTATTTCATTCCTTCGCATGCAGTCAGACCCCCCTCCCCTGCCCCGGCATCTATAGCCAGAAAATCCCTCTTCCACAAAAAGATGAACACAATGGAAGACTTCTTCATCAACCTAGGTACCTAGAAAAGTTTTACTGTCTTTTTTTGACAGCCTGTTGGAATATACTAGTTCAAGGAAAATAGTTTATTCCAAGGCTGCATATGCAATGATATAAATGTTTGACTCTACTTTTTCAAGGTAACATCAAGAAAGATCCTCATAGCTTGCTCCTGTATGCAGCAAACCAAGTGATACTTTTGTACTTTTCACAGAGAAAATATGATGCTGCTTGCAAAATAAACACAATCAAACATGGCGTATGAATTACTCCTTTTCACTTTGGATCACAAATGCCAGGCTACAGAGTGGTGGGATAAGCTCACATAGCTTAACGAAGCATACTGTCATTTATTCTAAACACAAACATACACAGCTGCCATTAGCAACCCAAGGGTTTACTAGCAGCTGCATGTCTACAAATCCCTGATGGAAGTTTTTGAGTCAGCAGTAGGAAAGCCACTGTTTGAAAATAATAGAGGTAAATGTAGTATGAACTGGCTTTCTTGAAATCATTTATATAAAGCAAAGCATACTATTTACAGGAGCTCTGGTAACACAGTGCCTAAGGCATCTGACTGCTAACCAGAAGGTTGGTGGTTCAAACTCACCAGCCACTCCACAGAAGCAAGACTGGGCAATCTACTTCCATAAAGATTTACACCTCAGAAACCCAAAGGGGTAGCTATGAGTTGGAATCAACTCGACGACAATGGGTTTTTTTTTTAATTTACAGATTAATATGTTATCCTGAGACACTATTTAAATTAAACTTAAACTGGCTTTGAGAAGTGAGTGCTTTCATACAACTGCTTTAAATATAAGAAATTATTTCAATGTGTACTTTGTTGTGTGTTTCTAGGCATGATTGGGATCCTCCAGACAGAAAAGTGGACACAAGAAAATTTCGTTCTGAGCCAAGGAGTATCTTTGAATATGAACCAGGGAAGTCATCCATTCTTCAACACGAAAGACCAGTAAGCACTTTTCACAAAACAGTATGCCAGTTCTCTAGTCTTCATGGGTTCTCAAACAAACCTGAATTTCATATTGTTTAGCAATTTTTGTCACAATGGTAATTTATTTATTTGGCAATATTTAAAATCATCTATTATGTATCATGGAGCTCTGGTAGCATAGTGGCTAAAAGCACTTGACTGCTAACCAGAAGGCTGGCGGTTCAAACCCACCAGCCACTCCTCGGAAGGAAGGTTGGGCAATCCTACTTCCGTAGTGATACTGCCTCGGAAACCCAAGGAGGGGTCGCTATGAGTCGGGGCCGACTCGACGGCACATAACAACAACAACAACAACATTATGTATCATGAGTTGAGCATCTCATCTTAGAATTGAAAGATGCACTAACATTGACCCTAACTTGCATGTAACTATGGCCTTGCTTAAACATGACCATGAGTTTAATTTAAAGAGAAAAAAAAAAAAATAACACTTAGTAGCTATTCTACATTTCTCCAATATATGTGATCTAGACAGTTCTATTCCCTGGTTTCCATATTTGGTTTCTTACTATTTCTTTGACTTAAGACAAAAATTTCCAATTGCCTTTTTAGACTTAAGAGAAAATTTTCCAATTGCCTTTTTATAACAAGTTGTTTTAATTGATTCTTATTAAATCCCTCTCAGGTTACCAAGCTTCAAGCATCCTGATTGATTGTCAATCTAATGGATCAAGATTATATTTAACTTTGCAGTATTTTTATTTCAATTATTAGCTTAATTATATGCAAACAAAAAGATACGTATACTTGGGAGAGGGGGAGAATCACTTACATTTTCAAAGTGCCATTTAACAAATAGGTTCTTCCTTGGCCCTCTATGATTTTCATTCCCCTCAAGTGCTCCTTTCTGTGTCCTTTCATTCTCCTGACTCAGTTTCCTCATGATCTCTTTGAAACTCTACAATTCCTCTGCACCTCTATCAAACCTTGCTTCTAGAAAAGCAATTGATGTCATTTGCATTCTACACCCATGTTGGCCTTAAAAGAATTTTAGATGTCAGTGAATAGTAAAAAAGAATATTCTTTGCTTGCTCAGTCAAGAGTATCCACGAAATCACACTATTTCATATCATACAAGTCCCACCCTAAAATACGATTTGAATACCCTCGCCTCACCACACCCAAAATGAGGGTCCTTGATTTAGTTTTGGAAGCCCAAATTTGTGGTTGTGTTCTTCAGAAGCATGTTCAAAAACCATATAATCACATAATTAATACATGAGATTTATCTAAGCCTTCTTTGTCTTTCTTTAAATAATTTGTAGGTTGTAGAGTAACAGGACTTCAACAGAAAAACTGAAAGGAAAAAAACAGGAAAACCACTGACTTATAGGCTCAACTGCAAACATATAAATCATATGATTTAATATCATGATACAGAGATAGTTGAAACCTCAGAGTGAGAATTAAATGAACCATGATTTCACCATAAAATGGAAAATAGCCAAATAATTGTGCAACTTTATAAATCTGATTTTAATGTAGTTAACAGGACTTTGATGATTATTCTAATAAGTTATGAAATACTTAGGGTGATGAACCTAATAATTGGAATGCTTTTGCAGCTGTGGTATCAGGAAACAAGATTGATTTTGGAAATGTTCCCATCAGAATATATCTACTGTTTCTATTCTTTATTCATTCGACAAAATAACTATATGCCAGACATTGTATTAGGTACTTGTGACACAGTGGTGAACAAAACACAGCCCTTACCTCAAGGAACTTAGAATCTATCATTTAATGTAAATGCAGGGTGGACCTTTGTGTGTGCAACGTGGACAACCTCTCATATGGTCAACATGAAGGTGCACCTAAAGAATCCTTCCTTTGCCCTAAGAGCTCATCTGTTGGCTGTGCTGTGATTATTGAAATTCCCACATTTGGGTTAAAGCTTTGAAGACTCTTAATTTAAAAATTGCAATAATAACAATAACAATAATTTTTCATTTTTATTGAGCACTTATTATGTGCCAGGCCCCTTAGTTAGTAGCATATGCTTTATCTTATGTAATGTTCCCAACAACCCTATCGAGAAGATATATGGCATTCCCATTTTACAGATGAAGAGACTGAAGCACACAATGAATAATTTTACTCCAGGATCACAAAGCTGGTGGGCGCTGGATCTAAGAGCTGAACCCAGGCAAACTCAAGCCTGGTATGCTTGATCACCACCGTACTGCCACACCAGGGTTACCCAAGTAGGAAACACATTTAGCTAGTACATTACTTTAATTAGTTTATCTTATTAGTTAGCAGAATTTAATTATTTTACTTTTTTATTTGATTACTTCTTTATTTCCTTACTAATTCATAACAAATTAGTATATAGATTACTTGCCCTACTTTACTAGAAGCCTGGACCTGGAGTAGTTAGAACACAGGACCAATATATCTAACTGGTTCTAAGAAGAAGACAAAGATTTAGAGTAGGAGTGTTGTCAGGGATTTCAGTCTGCATGGGTCTCTGCAGCCACAGACCAAGAAGCCAAAGAAAGAGAAGTGGAAGGAACTGGGAAATTTGCAAAGAAATGAGAATTTATATCCCCTGGAGAAATCAGAAGGTCCAAAACTTTTTCCATCCTAAATAATTTTGCTGAGGTCCAGTCTTATGAGCTAGGCATATGCATCATTTTGGCTGGGCTCTTTTTAGTATGTTGTTTGATGCCAGTCAGTCAATTTTCAATACATGGCAACCCTGTGAGACAGAGCAGAACTGCCCCATAGGGTTTTCTAAGCTGTAATTTTTACAGAAGCAGATCTCTCATGAAGCTGCTGTGTGGGTTCAAACTACCAACCTCTTGGTTAGCAGCTGAGCACTTAACCATTGCACCACCAGGACTCCTTTTTATTATTATAATAATATTGTTGTTAGGTGCCCTCGAGTTGGCTCCAACTCATAGCAACCCTTTGTACAACAGAACAAGACACTGCCTGGTCCTGCACCAACCTCACAATCCCTGCTATATCTGAGCCCATCGCTGCAGCCACCGTGTCAATCCATCTCATTGAGGGCCTTCCCCTTTTCCATTGACCCTCCACTTTACCAAGCATGATATCCTTCTCCAGGGAATGGTCCCTTCTGAGAACATGAAATTGGGTAGGTGAGACAAAGTCTGGCCATTCTTGCTTCCAAGGAGCATTCTGGCTGTACTTCTTCCAAGAAGATTTGTTCATTCTTCTGGCAGCCCATAGTCCTTTCTGTATTCTTTGGCAACACTACAACTCAAAAGCATCAACATATTTGGTCTTCCTCATTCATTGTCCAGCTTTCATATGCATATGAGGCGATACCATGGCTTGGGTTAGACACACATTATAATAATAGGACTAGTCTATTATTTCTTTTTATAATCAATCATGAATTGATTATGATTGTCTCTATTAATAATAATAATAATAAGAAGAAGAGGTCTAAGTACACAATGATTGCAGAGACTGCTCTGTATTTATAAAGTTTACATAAGATTCTGAGGGCCTTGAACACATAAGGCATAGAAGAAAAAGACCAGGTTTGCTAAATAGGCATGGTATGATAGCAAATGGACACCATTATAGATTTATAGGATTTACAAATACACTCCCATGCCTCTTTACTCCAGGATAGTTTATGAGCATTCCTTTCCTCTTTTCACATTTTATTTCATGTAAATTATACACATAGCTCAGTAATTCTGTGTTGCTCTTTTGAATTCCTAGATTCTCCTTCTCTCCTAGGATCTCAAAGTCCTTTCGCCTGGGAGAAATGCTGTTGCCATTCTTATCTGGCCCAGTTGCCTCTTGCCTATGACAGCCAATGACAGCGTCCTGGTTCATTTCACTAATTCTTCAATCTAGTCTCCACACCACAGCTACGACAATCTTTATAAAATCTTTATAAACCTCTTGCTTAAAACTTTCTACTGGCTTCCCACTGTCCTTGGGGGATGGGGGACTTAACATAATTTACAAAACACCATTGTAATTTAGCCAAATTGACTTCTCCAGCCTCATCTCTCTTCCCATCTTCTCTGCCTCCCTCTGTTCTAGCTATACAGAGAGCTTTCAACTCCTTTTTGCTGGACCTTTGCACAGACTGTTCTTTCTGCCAGGAAAACTCTACCCAGCACCTCTCCCTTCATATAGAAAATTCCATCTTATTCTTCAGGTCTCAGGCTAGAAACACTTCCCCCAGGACTTCTTCCCCAGCTCCTCAACACTAGGTTTAAAGTGCCCTTGCTGTGTGCCCCTGGCACCTGCAGTTCTTCACCACGGCCCTAATCACACTGAATTGTAATGGCATTTTTACTTGTCTGTATCCCTCACTAGACTTTAAGCTCCTTGAAGGCAGGGACTATGTTTGGTGCACCAGTTGTATCCTCAGCACCTAGCACAATGCCTGGCACATGGTAGGTGTTAAGTAAATAGTCATTGAATTGATAAATGAATGAATAAGTATAGGTTTCACCCTCAGAGTTAGTGGTTAAAGCTGATGGGAGACTGAGACCCTATTCTGCCGGCTTCTTTTTGAAGTCAGTACATTTCTAGTGACAAAAGAAGCAGTAGATCTCAGTCAAAGCACACACAAGAGATTTGACACATTGCTGTTAGTAGTTGTAATTCACTAATTCCATGATTCCCTGGGGTTACTTAGGACCAGAGGGGGCTGTACTATCTGAATAAAAGTCCCCCAGACTCTGGTAAAAAAAAAGATGCCCATCTCCTTAGGAATCAGTGGAATATATGTTTATGTTCTTTAACAGGAAAATAAAAGTGAATGCAATTTGAAGCTCATAGATACTCATTTGACTACACATTTAGAAACGTTGAACATTGCGTAGTGTTTGATCTAGAAACATACTTTGCAGTCTCCAGGAATGTATCCTTCACTGAATTGAACTGCAAGTCAGGGCCATATTTCCATAATGTAATGTATTTATTTCATGAGATAATCATACAATATTAGTAAAAACTTTACATCTCATCTAGATTAGATGTGTTTGCAAGTGAGCCATATTAAACAAACAAGCAAACAAACAAAAGCACATGTTTAAGACCTCTCCATAACTGACAAAATAGAAAATATGAAGATGTTACCTTCCTTATAATAACTAAACCAGCACAGGATAATAAAAACAGAAGGAAATAATAAGTGATGAAAACACTGGGCAGAGATTAATGCAATTTAAAACTTCAGGGAATGTGAACTTTGTTTCCAGGGAAGATTGATTATCGCTCAAAGCTTAAGCTGTAAAAATTTTAGGAGTTTCATTTGATGGTTTGAGCCATAAAGCATTGTCCCAGATACCAAGGTGTATAGCATTTATTGTGGAATCACAATAAATATAAAGAATAGGAACCAATATCATTAAAGCTTAGAATCTAATGAGCATAAAATTTAAAGAACCATATTACATTGGCACTTATTTTGTCACTTGGAACAACACACAGAAATTATATGCCTGCAGTGAGTATTGAGAACAGTCAAATTTCTATAGCCACAATAGCAACTAAGTGTTTTTAAGCTGTAGAAAACATACTTTAAGATTTTTTAATGGTTCACCTTCTAGTAACTTTTAAATAAGGATCATGATGATTTACCTTTTAAATAATATCTTTTAAATAATAAATGATTTATCTTTTAAATAAAGGTCATGCACATTTTAGCTTTCCACAAGCACCTCCTCCTGCTTGATGACACAAAGCATGTTTTCAACAAAGGGTTGCTGGTTTTCAATTGAGAAGAAGCAAAAAAAAAGATTAGAAAGATGCACCCCAGTATTTCTCCTCTTTTGTCTTTTATCAGCAATTAGAGCAAAGCATAATCATGCTTCTTCAGTGAGTTTCTGGGTATAAATATTAGTGCCAAACTCAAAGGAACTTGCAAATTACTCATGGAAAGTGTTGAATTAGTGTGATGATGAGCATGCCTATATGTCTGTAGGCTAACCATTTGTATGTGTGTCTCTGACTATTGTGAGGCCTCTAGGTACTCTAGATCTACTTTATGTAGATCAATGGCTACATAATACATTTAATTGTGGCATGCCTAAAGGGATTCAATAGGTCAACCTATTGAATAGTGGTATTGAATATTGAATATCCAATAGGCCAACGGCAAAGTGAAAATTCTAGTTCTCCCAGTTACAATTTCTTTTGGCATGGATTCTACATAGTATATACATAGTTGACCATCAGGACAATAAATTGAATTTTTAATCTGCAAAGATGTAATGAATGAAAAATTGCCATTCTAAGGTATGAGACAGAATGACACATATTCTGCTTCTTCGTCCATATCGTATCATAGAAATACATTAGACATATCCATTTATTATGTATTTCCTTTAGGGGGAAGTCAAAGAGAAACTTTAACAGCTGGTAAACTTATTTGTTTAGTAAATTTGCTGCCCTCTGCTGTTCAAAATATTTTTTAAGCAAATTTGTTCCTCCAAGAGAAATTTCAGGACACATCATGGCACAGTGGTTAAGTGCTCAACTGCTAACTGAAAGGTGGGTGGTTTGAACACGAGAGCCACTCCACAGAAGAAAGAAGTGGCAGTCTGCTTCCATATACAGCCATGCAAACCCTATGGGGCAGTTCTACTCTGTCCTGTAGGTCGACAACAACATGGTTTGTTTTTTAAAAAACAAACATATTCCAGGAGGGCCAATAAGCACTCCTAGCTTCAAAGTAATTTCCTGTCATTCCTTTACAATTCTTAAAGGAACTGAAGGACTATTGGCCCTCCTGGAATATGTTCCCCTAGAGGGAAACTTATTTAAAAAAGAAGTTTCTATCTACCTTTAGTGAAACAAATATAATACTTAAAAGTAGAGGTCATAAAGTGAAGAATTATTAATATTAAGTATGTAGCATTCAAAAAAAAAATTTTAATGTAGCATTGGAAAATATGAAAATTGAAAAATCCAGAAGTTAGTTTTCCTCTTGAAGAATTACTATGCCTCTATTAGCAAAACAAATAAATAATACTTCTCTCTAATTTGTTTATTACCCTAAAAACCAGCTCCAACAGAACCATTCCTGGAAACAGTTAAATGTTCCAGCTCTTAGGATCTAAATTATAATTGGGGGAAAGACACTCAAAATTTTATTATCAAAATCTCAATTAGTGTTTTTGCAACTATTGAATCAAATAGAAACTGAATCAGAATTGTAAATTAAGCAGAAAACTGAAAATGACTTACAAAGAATATTTTCTATCAATTTCACTATATTTCTGAGATGTGAACAAAGTCATATTGACATCTATATTGAGAACTATCTCAAGATTCATGCAACATTTGCCAGTAATAATAGTAGTATATTCTCCTTGATTTATATTTACAAATAACATTAAAAGTAAAGCAAAATTTTTCAAAGAATGAAAAGAACAATCTCAATACCAGAACACCAGGTGGTCTTTTATGTGTATGTATCTTTCCTTATTGTGCTCATCCAGATACAGGCTTTCCAATACCAGTGGAACAATTGTACAAGTACATGTTCTGCTTTCATCACTTAGTATCCTATCATAAACATTTTCTAGATTCATTGTAGTCTTTATAATTATAATCACTTCATACTTCAGATATCTTAGACCCTTTCACTATTTAATGATGATGTTTCAAACTTTTCTGTCATTGTCTATAGTTATCACATTTTTGTATTATAAACTATTGAAAAAAAACCACATCACTAAAAGCACTTTGGATATAAGTCATTATTAAATATCGACTAAGTGACATTAACAAAACTACTGCAAATGCAACAAGTCATTAAAACACTAGGACAATCTCATGTCAAAATAGTAGTTTGTATTTGAATATGGAACATCTCAAAGCTCAAAACATTATAAAGGTTATAGAGCATTTCTTCCAAAACTGAGATGTAGTTACTCAGTGGAAGTCCTTGAGTTCCTTTAAGAATTGTAAAGGAATAGCAGGGAATTACTTTGAAGCTAGGAGTGCTTATTGGAATATGTTAGGTGAGTTGTCACTCTTCTCTTGGCCAAGGTAAATAACTTATAGGGAATATTAAACCAAACCAAACTCACTGCCATGGAGTTGGACCCAATTCATAGTGACCCCTCCTGGGTTTCCAAGGCAATATCACTACGGAAGTAGATTGCCCAAACTTCCTTCCGAGGAGTGGCTGGTGAGTTTGAACCATCAGCCTTCTGGTTAGCAGCCAAATGCTTTAGGTACTACACCACCAAAGCTCCTAGAGGGAATAAGGGTTTGGTTTTTCCCAGAGTTAAAATACCACACCGTGTTTAATTAGTGTCTTGTGATAATGACCAGAGAAGTAATAGCCCACATGCAATAATTTAAGCATCCACTTTTAATATAAAATCAACAGCCTGAATCAATCTAGTCAGGCTAAATTTTATTGTTTTGAAAGCATTAAGGATATTGCTTGGTAAAGTTATTGGGGTGTGTGTTTGATTTTTCTATTACTGAAGTAATTGTGTATGTATTTTCTCAAACTGTATTTTTCCATTTATGCAACATTCATAAAGCCCTGGAGGGGAGCAAGTCAATGATAAAAAACTGGCTTTTTGTTTGAATTAGAATGTCACCACACCTAGAGGGGATATTATCCCTCACTTCCCTTTCTCACCCTCAGCCATCCATAGTCACCTAATCCCATCCTACTTCTCCAGCTTGAAGTAGTCAGGTGGAAGGTAACACTTGAGGTTATCTCATAAAACTGATTTTTCTTCACTTTTCAAAACTGGAAATCTTTAGACCATTGCAGGGGTACAGATTCTTCTGGGTTACCTTTGAAAGGTTACCTCCACATTGCCTATGGTAGGACCCAAATAACTGCTAGCTGCTGTCCCCTCATTTCCACAGAGAAACTCTAATAAATCAGTTTTTCCTTCACCCCTCTTTATTACAGCCCCCTCTCCCAACAACTCCGACACCTGTTCCAAGGGAGCCCGGCAGGAAGCCTATTTCCATTTCAACACACCAAGAAGTAACTCGTAGCCCCTCCCCTCCGCCCAGGAGTGTCATCCCCACACCAAGCTTGTGCACCCCAGCTCTCTCTCCCATCCGGGTGAGCTCATTCCTTCTTTGACTTTTCCTATACTTGCCAGGAGGTTCAGGTGTAGCTCTACAGAGGCTAAGAAGACAGTGAGAGGCTGGCTACTCACGCATCCCCCACCCCCCACCATGTTGCCTTTTTTCTTTCTCACATAGCTCTCAGGTTCTTCGTGTCAGTAGCCCCCTAACTGTCTCACAGCACCCTACTTGCCTCCCTCCACCTAATATCTCTTCCCACCTGACCCTTCCCCCACCCCTAAGCTCTCCACACTCTTGCACCTGAGCATATTGTCTGCGTATGTGAATCGGTTTAGACTTAAGGTGTTGGGATTGCTATTCACCAATGAGGTCAGGGATGATGGAGTGACTCACCCAGAAGAGCTACGCGGTGACTGAGTGAAGATTATTTTAATACTCTGGTGTGTTATAAATGCCCATTCTCTCTGTCACAGAGAGTTTTCCAGAGTCTATGCATCCAGCTGAGGAAGAAATCCAAAATGGTTGACAGAGGAAATAGCTAGGGGCTTAAGCTATGTCACGGAAGCTCATCTTCATGTCTTAATTTTACTCATTTTACTGTACTTCCTTTGTTTCCTCCTGCTGAGATTGGTTGGACGAGAGTTGATGCATGTTTGCGTGTGGATGGCGTGTTTTTCATATCACACGGCATTTCCCTCACTTAGCTCAGTGTGCCTTTTCCTTCCCTTTTCCTTCACATCTGCTCCAGACTGATCGCATAAATCCAGATGACATAGATTTAGAAAATGAACCCTGGTATAAATTCTTTTCAGAACTGGAGTTTGGACGCCCGGTAAGTGAGGCTAGACTCTTACTATACGAAAATTAGGAGAATGTTGCTTAATATATAAAAATTATCATTATCAGAAGAGATAGGCATCTTTTAGAGAACAAATGCTGAATGTGCAGTGTATATATAAATTTAGTGCAGTTTAGTTCCATGATCGCAGCTGTACCGAATGCTCAAACATGCTCAGACTCTTCTGATATGATTTTTCTTTACCACCAAATCATGCAATGGGATTACTTTACATGTCATTCATTGCACATTCAAAATATTGAGATGGATTCTGTCCTGGAACATTCAGGCAATTATTACATCTTTACAGACTTGTGTTTGTTTACAGTTCATTTTGGTCTAGTTCAAGAAAAGGGTCAGTATGAAAGGTATAATAATAATTACCATCATTATAGCTTCCATTGCATTTGAAAGTGCTAGGCACTGTATTCATTATCTCAGTGAGTCGTCACAGTGCTCCTCTGATATGAAGAAACATGGGACCAGAGGGGATAAGTAATTTCCCAAGATAGTAAGTGGCAGAGTGAGAATTTAAACCCAGGCCTATCAGACAAAAAACCCTGGGTATTGCCCATTCTAATGTACTCCCAGAATATTTCATTTACTGATAGAAATAGGAGGAAAGGAAGAAATACAGAAACCCCGTAGACTTTCATTTCTAGTCTTGCTAGTGAAAGCTCTACATAATCTCTAGTCCCCAAACCCTCACCAGAGGAAGCCTAGTGCCAGGTCCTATGGGAATTGCTTAGCCTGTTTGGTGTAAACAGTCAACTCAAGCTTCCAATAATAACCTCGTGGCATAGTGCCTAAGGCATTTGACTGCTAACCAGAAGGCTGGTCATTCAAACCTACCAGCAACTCCTCGGAAGAAAGGTTAGGCAATCTACTTCCGTAGAGATACTGCCTTGAAAACCCAAGGAGGGGTCGCTATGAGTCAAATCCACTCAGTGGCACCAAGTTTGGCTTTTTGTTTTGTTTTGTTTATTACCTCAAGTTTCATTTAGGATTTATTTCTTTATGATATCTACCAAAAGCAATTCACTTGATATCTGTCATTTACGTACTTTTTTATACTTTGATCGGTATTTCTTAATTTTAAATTATTAAATAACATATCCAGATTACATGGCATAGCAGGTTATTAGAGATGAGAAAGAAAAGTCTTCCTTTTATACTGATTTACATAGTTGTATACTGATCTTGAGGAGCTCTGCTGGCACAGTGGTTAAGTGCTCAGTTACTAACTGCAAGGTTGGTGTTTTGAAGCCACCAGCCATTTCAAGGGAGAAGGATATGCCCATCTGCATCTGTATAGCTTTACAGCATTGGAAACCATATGGGGCAGTTCTACTCTGTCCTACAGGGTCACTATGAGTTGGCATTAACTTGATGGCAATGGGCTTAGTTTTTATTAGTGGCAATGGTAGATTCTTTTTTCCAGTAAAATGCAATGGAGTCAAGTGATTAGTCACAACATTGTATTGAACTGAATCAAAAGTGACTGTAAATGAATATAAGCCAAAGTATTTTTCCTAGAATTTACATTACCCAACAAGAGGAATTATTTTTCTAAATTTTTTCCCCACTTTATATCCTGGTATAAATATAAAGGCATTTTATCTCAATGAAAAAAAAAATCTCTTATAGCTTTATTTTATATGTGTTGTTATTGTTGATTAGCTCATAGGGTCTATACCAATTTCTGTTCTGAGCTTAAATTATCAGCATTTTCTATAATCACTTTCACACATAAAAACTCACCAGCATGCTATTCACTTGTTCTTTGGTGTTTCTTTAATATATGCTGAGTCCCTCTCTGGACAGAGACTGGGAGTGCTAATTTTGATTGGATGAAATATACTTATAAATACATTAGATGAATCACTAGCAAGTTTACCAAGCGCTTGAGAGTATTTATAAACTTTGCACTCCTAGACTACCCCCATTTTGCTCCATTCATGTCCTTCTTTATGTGTATCTGATGCTATCAGCACTCAATTTCTAACTGTTGTCACCTTTTCCACATGTTCATTCCTTGCTGCCATTGATTCTCCTCCATTCCATCTCTACATTTCTGCTTATGTGGTGCATCTACACCCAGCCGCCTAAAAAGGCTCTGGATTATGTTCAAGATCATTCTTCTGGTGTTTCTAATGAGGTAAAAAAAAAAAAAAAAATGTTCTCTCTTTTTCAGATTTCTCTTATGGGCTATTACTGTGACTCTGAACATCCATGTCTTACAATTCACTATAGTATCTAAGCTATATTTAAAATCTATCTTTATATTATTGTGTTGTGCCCAGTATGATTGCTTGGACATTAATTATATCAAAGTTATTGCCATTTCTGGTGAAGAATCTATAGGTGAAGAATCATTCCAATCATAATTTTTAGTTAAACTATTCAGTGCAGTCCTGGTATTCAGCAAAGTTAGAATCAAAAAACAGAAGTATTGGTCTTAATGCATTCATTAACCATGTGTTTTGATGAAACTGAGCAAAACACTACTAGAAGTCTTCTCAGGGCCATTTCATCATCATGTGTGGACATGCACATTAAAAATTTATATTCTTAGATAATCAGATGTTTATGCCCCACAAATTCCTAAGATTTACTAATCAGATTTATCTTATTCCTAAGATTTAATTCTTCCATTTTTCTAAATACTCACTAGTTGTGGATTTTATCATCAGTCAAAACTAGAGCTGACAAATAACTGACACACGTGTCACAACTCCCCAGTTCCACACCCTTGATAGACATTACTAATCATTCTGGACACACTGTAACCCAAGCAGCCACTAGAATAGATCTTCGCTGGTATATGCAATTAAATGAATGGGCCTTATCTATTTGAGACCATTTATGACAATCTGCTGTAGGAAAAATTTTTGTCAGGCAAAACACATTTTTTGTTTGAATCAGGCAAAGAGTATGAAAAATCAGAAATGATCAGAGCTTAAAAATTTTTATCCCGCTCTCTGCAAAGGAAAACAGAAAATTATGTTGGAAAGCAGAATTGTTACTCTTTAGAAGACACAAGAAAAAATGACACATTATTTTGCTAAATATCAACTATGTAAAAGCCTGCCTTCCTGAACTCCTAGAAGCAGCTAGGATAGCAGCAAAGTGAATAAAGTGGTTTTCACATAGTAGTTGCTCTGTGGTTCTATGTGAATACAATAGTGCTCAATCAAAATCTTATTTTTATTTAAAAGTTTTAATAGTTAAATGAGTTAAATAAGTACAACTGCCTAACATTTGACTGCTAACCAGAAGGCTGGTGGTTCAAATCCACCAGCCGCTCCTCGGAAGGAAGGTTGGGCAATCTACTTGTGTAGTGATACTGCCTCAGAAACCCAAGAAGCGGTCACTATGAGTGGAAATCAACTCCATGACAGTGAGTTTGGTTTGGGGTTTGGAGAATAAAACTAGTTGGACATTTATGCTACATGAGATACCACTGACACATGGCGGTGACCAGTGGAATTGCAGACATAAGAGTCTCAGGAGGAAATACCCAGTTTGTAGAGCAACTCCAACTATTGCCCCTGTGGTAAACATCACAACAAAGCGTGTGTTAAAACAGGGTCGTGATTGAAATATTTATACATTAAATAGAAATTAAAATAGAGTAATTAGCAACATAATAGGTTATTGAATTCCGTCATTTCTAAATGTTGATGTTTTGTATCCAGGTATATAGTTTGAAGAAAGTCAGATAAGACAAGCAGTCCCATTCTGTGTGTCATGATACCTTCGTATCTGAATAAAGGGTATCATTTGAACATATGAACAACCCAGGAATTTCTATTAACAACTTGGGCAGATATTTCTCTCAGTATATTTGTAGGATGTTTTAAGGTGGTTGATTCATTAAGAACTAAAATGGAATTTAGAGATCATTGTATCCAGGTCACTATTTTTCAATTAACAAAAATAAAGCCCGATAATTTTAAGAAACATGTCCAAAATTACAATGTAAGATAGGGACAAAGAAAACAAAACACAGCCTTCACTTCAGTGTTATTTCTTTTATTCCATATTTTTTAGCAGTTCCAAGAGATGGAATTAGACCTCAAATCTTTTCTAAATAAATTATTTACTTTATATTATTCATTGTTAACTATTGAATTTCTATAAAATGAGTTCCTGTAATTAATGTTACACAGTAATTCTTAACATAAAAATAATAGAAACTTAATTTTATGCATTCTATAATGTTATAGCAGAGGCCAAAATATCACATAAAAATGCACTTTGCTGATAGTTAAATGATTTGCTATTACATATTTGAGATTGAGAAGCAATGTGGTATAATTCTAATAGCATATTAACTATATTGTTAAATTAACATGATGATTTTTCAGAGTGTAAGAAAGCATTCTCTGATAAGGTGTCTGGATTTTGTCTTTAAGAACTTAACGTAAAAGTTTCTGATAAAATTGTAATTGATAAGATATTTAAGGTGATTAGATTTACCTTTAAAAACCCACTGCCATCAAGTCAATCCCAACTCATACTGACCCTATACAAAAGAGTAGAACTGCCCCCATAGGGTTTCCAAGGCTGTAAATCTTAACAGAAGCAGACTTCCTCATCTTTCTCCCACAGAGCAGCTGGTAGGTTCAAACCTCTGACCTTTTGGTTAGCAGTCAACTGCCTTGACCACTAAGTCACCAGAGCTCTTTAGACATTACCTTAGCTACCATTTATCAAGTACCTAGTATATGGCTTAAGTAGCATAGTTTTTTAATCCATAAATATAATTGAGCAACTGACATTAATGAAGAACAGTTAAGAAGTTTTAAGCAAAGTTTCATCACATGATCACTTAGCAAGTAAGAGTGACTGTTCTTTCTTCAAATGGCTTTCTTCTAGGTATGTTAAAATAGTGGCAATATTTAAATACTCAGTAGATTATAATATATTGTTGTTGTTATGTGCTGTCGAGTTGTAATAGGTAAAATTATTTCCCTCTTTTCTTGAGACAATTTCTCTTTCAGTATGAGCACCATCCTTGTTTATTGTACAAGTTTTTCCCCTTATTCATACATATAGACTTTTTATTGTCACTTTATAATTTAAAACGAATCTTTTCCTTTGAGTATACATAAACTCACAAAACAGTTTCAGTTTGCTCCGGACTGTGGAAACTAGCGCAAGAAGGAAATAGTTTTAGTTTCTGAGCCAAATGCTAAACCCCAATCAGTTTATCAGAGGCAGAACTTTCACTTCTCAAAGTGTACAATATTGCTAGGCTCATCACAAGCTGACAGTTCAAGATTTCTGATCACTCTAGAGAAGCTCTAAGGGTGTTCTAAATTTGACGCTTTTCTGTAGACAAGTGAGGCTTTGTGGTTGAGTGTCCCCAAGAAAGCTATGATCTACCTAGAACCCATATTCTGAAGTTCTCTGGTGGTGCTCTTCTACAAACATGTAGACTTAATATTTCTAAATTGGAATATAATTATCTAGCTATATTGATTTACTTATTTGTTTTCTTTTTTATTTGTTTAGTATTTATTTTTTCACATTTCCAGTGCACAACTGGAGTTGTACACAGATTTCCACAAGTTAAAATCAGACTAGCTGATCAAATTTTTTTTCCTATTTTGTTTGTTGAGAGCATTGGAATCTAAATATTTTCTAAGACTGAGCAACATTAAAATATGCTTTTTCTGTCTAAAAGGAGATGATATTTTTTGCAAAAAAAAAAAAAGATATTTTTGTTTGTTTCTGGGCATGATTCCATTCTCATTCAGTATGATAAAATTAAATGAAAATATTAGCTAAGAGAAGTAATATTAGACCTATGCATAAAATGGCTTACCAGATTAACCTACATAAAGAATTACAAAATTATACAGTAAATATTTAATTGGTTAATTGGTGCTAATTTACAAATAGGATTATCAAAACTATTTTTAAAGTGTTCTTTATTTTCCTCAAAGTAGATTTTGAATACTCTGGTAAAATGTTCTTATGTGATAGCAACTATAGATATAACTTTTCAAATTCTTTCTGGCAGACTTTTATGTAGAAGAATATTTTCAGACTGAAATTTCAGTTCTTCATCAAGCCAAAGTTTATCAGTGATGAAGAATTGATTATCAAATATGAGGAAAGCCAAGACTATATATGTACATATATAATGCATATATATACATATACTTATATAATATATATATATTAATTTCCCTACATTCTAGACATCATACTACAACTACTTTCATCTTGCAGTCACTCAAATATTCAGGAGCTCAATACTGATCCTCTCTTGCCTTCAGATATTTCAGCAACTAGCCCAATAGATGACTATGAAAAATGAAAAATTCATATCTATCAGTTTTGCTTACTATCTATTTCAATGTGCTGTTCAGAATGAAGGAGTTTGGAAATGATATGTACAAACAATAAGAATTTGGAATTATTTATCAAATGGTTTTACCTATATTTTCTTTGTTCCTACAACCATGGACAACTGAAATTAGATTATCTGAGAAAAATGTCAAGAGCCCACCTGTAAAAAAATAATGTTACATGATAGTTCATTAGATGATTTATTTAGTAATTATTTATTAAATCAATGATTTATTAAATTAATTAATCCTTAATCCATTTCAAAGATGTAAATCTGTGCTGATTGAAGTTCCAGGTAGTTTAGTTCAATTTCATAACAAATTCGTGGGGTTTTTTAATTAAAATGTCATATCTGTGTTGACAGATGAAAGATGTCTCAAGTTCTGCAAAGACATTATGTTTTAAAGACAACATCTGAAATTTTAAGAAGTTTTGTTTTATAAGGACTGAATGATGACTGCCAATATTTTTAAAATATCTGACTATTCCTTCATGTAGGAAATTTCTATTTATAGTCAGTAGATAAAATTCTCATTAGTATTGTAGAGTAACTTTTCAATATTCCTGAGGAAATACTATTTAATGCTCCCACCGCAACCCACCCTTCCATGTACTGTTTGGGTTTTGGGTAATTTGAGTTTACACAGTGAAACGCAATGTAGTATCTTAAAGAGAAAGTTGATAGGAAGAAAGTAGAAATCAGACTGCACTGGCACAGTTAGCCCTGGTGGTTACAAGGAGATTCCACGCTTACTTTAAAATATTGCAAAAATTCTGAAACAGTTTAATAGCAAAACTGAATAATACAAACTTCCATCAATATCATCAACAACAAATACTTATATAATTCTTTTATAATCTTAATGAATGTTATTTTCACTTGCTCAATTTTCACAATGTTCTTTTGAGGATACCTAATTTAATGTCCACATACAAAATAAAAATATTCCATGGTGAAAATCTTCATGGAACTCTTTTTCTTTCTTAACAGGCCTCCTTGTATCAGTCCTCTATCGACAGAAGCCTGGAGAGACCCATGAGGTAAGAATCACATTACATTACGCAATCAGCATATTCTGTATAAAACCAAACCAAACTCACTGCCATCAAGTGGGGTGCGACTCATAGTGACCCCTCCTTGGGTTTCCGAGGTGGTATCACTACGGAAGTAGATTGCCCAACTTTCCTTCCGAGGAGTGGCTGGTGGGTTTGAACCACCAGCCTTCTGGTTAGCAGTCAAATGCCTTAGGCACTACGCCACCAGAGCTCCCATATTCTGTATAGTGCTTTATTTTTCAATAGTAATACTTGTCAGGGAATAGTCAGGAAGGTTATTTATCACTTATTTTCATTTTAAGCACCCATACCTCGTGAGGTTATTTTATTTTGTTTCTGCAACACTTTATGTAATTACATCCAAGAAATTATAAAAATTAAGTGAATTAGTTCTTGATTCTTTTGCAGACTACAAGTCTTCCCTACTGTTTCTTCTCTATACTCAGATTTCTCTTCCTTCGATAGGGACTATAAATATTTAATTCTCAATACTGTTAGATAATATCTGAAAAAACATTATAAATTACAAAGTGTTATACATGTTTGTTAATTATATTCTCACCACAAAAAAAAAAAAAAAAAAGCCAAAATGTAATTGCTACCAATGAATGAAGGCTTACCATGCACCAGGTATTCTAAGTGCATAAACATTTATTCCTTAAGGAAACACTATGAGGTAAGTACTCCCTATCTTATCTGTAAGGAGGCTGTTGTTGTTATTGTTGTTGTTGTTGTTGTTAGGTGCCATCAATTCAGTTCTGACTCATGGCAACCTTATGTTTAACAGAACAAAATGTTGCCCAATCCTGTGCCAGAAACACAACCTTACACTTAGTTATCAAAGGTTACACAGTTGGCAAGTAGCAGAGACAAAGTAGGATTTAAACCAAGATAGCTTGTAACCACCAGACGTAATTAAGCCAAGAGTCTGCCTGAGTTCTTTTAATAAGCCAGAAATACCACACTTTAAAATATTGCAGAAATTCAAAACAGTTTAATAGCAAAATTGAAAAATACAAACTTCATCTTTATCAACAGCAAATACTTATTTAACATTAATTTTACCTTCTATAAGATTTCTGTCAACATCAGAAGAAAACTTTGTAAGTTGGGCTCATGAACACAATTTAACTACATTCATATCACTTACAAAACAGTTCTCTCTACCCCTCCTTTTATAGCTTTTGCTTCTATACATGCACATGTAACATTTGCATTTTAGAATTTTCATCTGACCTGAGGATTGATGTAAACACTCACAGAGCCTCACATGACAGTGACAGAGAAAACAGGTCTAGGAGAAGACAGATGTCCTGCTTAGAAGAATTCAGACAAATTCTGAGGTCTGGCCCTACCTCTGCACTTGCCAGGCGTGTGTGTTCAGTTTACTGCTTTGTAAAACAGTGAAAACAGAGCATACCTCATACATTTGTCATTCGGGCCAGATAAGACAATAATGTAAGTAAAGCAGATAGCACATTACCTGGGCCATATGAGCTGCTGAAACAAACATAATATTATCTCTGGTAGACATGATTTTACCTAGTGAATTGACAGACAACATGCTATGCAATGTGTCCCTTCATTCACTAATGATTGTCTTAAAATGATACTAAACTCAAACCCAGAACCATGATTGTCAATAATGTGTTATGTAATTGGATGAGTGGAATTGTGAGTAGTTTATTTGCCAACCAGATGACTGGTCATTTCTTATTTAACTAGAAAATGTTGGAGCTTTAGTGTACGTATTTTCAGACCTAGTGTTCTTAGGAAAAGCCACAGGCAAAACCTTGAGGGAAGAGACGTTTGTTTCACCAGATGTCTTGCCTCTTTTTCCCATTCCTCTGCACCCCCCCATCTTGTGGATATATTCATATTGTTGGAATTTTATAGAGAAAAGATACCTAATACAAATGATAACACTGAACTGTCGGTCACAGCATATTACAGTAGTAGAAGAATATTGACTTTAAAACATTATAAAGAATCATGCTTAATGTGGATGAATGAATTCTTTACAAGGTAGTCCGGCACATGGGAGATAGGCTGTATACCACTATCATTAGCACACTCCACCTGTCTTTCTGATTCAAATAGTATAACACGCGGTCATCTAGTCAATTCTAACTCATGGCGACCCCATTCATTACAGAGAACTGTGCTCCATACAGTTTTCTTGGCTGTAATATTTATGGAAGCAGATTACCAGGCCTTTTTTCTGCAGTGGTTCTGCTGGGTGGGGTTGAACTGCCAACCTTTAGGAGTCGACAACCCAGTAGGTGTCCACATAGTAACCTCCCCCAATAACAATCAGACTGGTGCTGATTCTTTCTTTCAGTTCTGCAAGTATGGCCAGTGACTTTAGGAAAAGGAGGAAGAGCGAGCCTGCAGTGGGTCAGCCCAGGGGCTTGGGAGATAACAGTGCAAGCAGGACCAGCCCAGGTCGAGCAGACCTCCCAGGCTCCAGCACCACCCTTACAAAGTCTTTCATTAGCTCTTCTCCTTCTTCCCCATCAAGAGCAAAAGGTGAGCAACAATTAGTTGATACTCAAATGATTTACTAGTTTAAGTTTTAGCGTAGAGTACAATGTTTGACCTGGTCCAGTGAGAATGTTATGTGTTAGCATTAAAACGCAGTGTCTTGAATAAAACGTACCTTCAGAAAAGTCGACTTCTCCCTCCTCAGATTAAATCAAGCTGATGAGCTGGTTGGACTGCTTAAAGGAATCTCTGTTTAGCATCTGTTAATGTTTCTTTCCCAAATATATCATTTATTTTTTTTTTTGAACAAATTCAAAGCATCAAATAATATATTGTCAGTCTACTTAAAAGACTACATTGATAAATATCCATATATTGTCAAAATTTTCTAACATAAATACAACTACAAAAAATATCAATCAAATTTATAAAATGGGAATTAAAAGCAGTAACAGAGAAAGTTGTTGCCTAAAGCATAAAATGATTTCTTAGTTATTTAAATCTAGATTAAAAGTAGTCTAACCTACTAAAGCTGTTTCTTTAATTATTTGCTCTATAGTTTTTGTCAACATTCATATATACAGTAGAGCATCCATGTTCTGTCACAAAACATAGTGTTCAATTCACAATTGTCCATAAATAGGAACTAACTGGTTTCAAGCCATAATTATAAAATTTAGGAATCACCAAGTCATTTCTCTATATGGGCTGACATTATTGGATTCTACTCATGTATGCACTTCTTAGCTATACTTGTGTGTGTCTGTGTGTGTGATTTGGGTGCAAATTTACAAAGCAGATTTGTTTTACTCTCAACAGTTCATGCACATTTGATTTCATGGCCGGGATTACCATCTCCAACCATAAAAAACTCTCCTCCCATCTCCTCCCTGTGACACTCCGTCCCTCCGTCTCTGGCTCTTTTTATCTATGCATTCCTGTCTGTTCAGCTTTCCCTCTATGTGAATGCTGCCCCTCTGATGTCTCATGGCTAATTGATCCAAGGGGTGCATCTCGCTGGAGTAGATGGATGTATCTCCCTAGGGTAGATGTTCTGCATGTAGGTCTTTCTACTGTTGGGCTGGAAGCCAATACATGGAAGTGAATCCATTTCTAGGCCCAAAGGATAACCCAGGGCCATAGTCTCAGGGATTCCACCAGTGTTCATCTGACTAGTAATTCTGGTCATTTGTGTTTCTGAATTTTTTCCACATTTTTTCCTCCCCATCTAACCAAGTGGATAACATTGGTAGCAGAGCACCACCTAGTTTTTTGGTTCTTAGGGTCATGAAGGCTGCAGTCCTCAGAGTCCATCATATCTTTGGACTAATTGTTTCTAAATGACTTTGATTCTCTTCAGTCTTCTTTGTTCCAGACGAGAGGAGACTAATAGTTGCATCTTAGATGGCCACTGTATAGCTTTTAAGACCAAAGAATGTAGAACAAGGTTTTTATGTACTACGTGTGACAATTGATATGAAGGTCCCTGAGACTATGGTGTTGAGCCCACAGGCCCAGTGATTCTCCCCCTCAAGGTATTTGATTGTCTCTGAGCTATTGTAACCCTGTCCTCTGTTACTTCTGTAATGTATATGGATAATTTTGTAGCATGTATTGTGTCTTACATATGTAAGACTATCTTCAGCCAACTCTATTCTTAGTCTTGGGTATATTATTGTTTGTCTACTCCCACCTGATCTTCTCACCTGTCTATGCATTTACGTATAGCCTTTTTTTAATCTATATCTTAAAAATAAATTTCTAATCATTTTCCTAAGATGAGAAATAAATCATAAAATGCCATGGATGCACTATGTGTCGATACTACCCCACATAAAAAGGATTTCAGTTAATTTAGGTAATTGTTTTCTAGTAAGGAGTGTTAAATTAACTTCCTTTCCTAAATATTGCATATCCACTTTATGTGCTTATCATCTTCTGAAGAATTTGGGAAAGAGTATACGGCATGAGGTTAAAATAGAGATCTATTCCTCTAATAGGTTTTATTTCTAAGAAAATGTCCCATTAGATGTAGTAATTTGGCCTCTCATTTATTTGAATTAACTTATCAGAGCAGAATAAAATAATATTTCCATAGATAATCCCAACTGAAATCAAGTTTGTTGTTGTTGTTGTTGTTATGTGCCGTCGAGTTGGCCCCGACTCATAGCGACCCCTCCTTAGGTTTCCGAGGCAGTATCACTACGGAAGTAGGATTGCCCAACCTTCCTTCCAAGTGAAATCAAGTTTAGCTATTACCAAATTACAAAAGATTAAAATAGAAAAGTAAAACCAACATGGCAGAAAGCAAGATGCATTTACCTCTGATGAAAGTTTAACATTATATCCAGCTATCATTATGTGGTTGAAAATAGAACACTTGAAGAGGAGAATTAGTTTAAGAGGTCCAAGTCATTTTTTTCTTGGAAAAATATGATCAGCAATAGCCCTTAGCATCTTAATTTTACAATTTTGCTAAATGTTTGGAAAATAATTTGTCTTACAGCTTTTTGTATCCAATGCCCATGAAAAAATATTTGATATAGCTTTAGAATTACTAATTAAATATAAATTTATAAATTGCTCTTTACCTGTTGTTATAAATCAAATTAGATTCAAAGCCTGACCCTAATAAGCTAAGTAATTCTATAATACTTTTGACATTAATCATTAAACACTGAAGTTACTACCTGATCTTATTATTATTAGCTTAAGAGGTGCTATTGTGTTTTTGACTTATCATATTTGCAGAAAGATATATCAACTATGCAATAGAAAGAAATGTATTATCTACACTAATTACTTGTTTTACATGGCTTGTTAACACTAATATATTGAAAGTTACATTCACTTAAAAATTATTGCCTTGCTGTTTAGAATTGTACATTTTTTTCCCTAAAGCTGAAGCTACATAGATAACAATCGGTGTCTAGAATAAACCACACTAACTCTTTCTCTTTTCTGTGCTATCTGATGCTTACTGACTGACATGCTCTGCTTTTTTGTGAACCTTTTAACTTCTCAAAATGTTTCTCTTCTACCACGCTGCTCTCTGGATTAAAAGATGGGGATGATAGCAAACCGTGTCCGTCCATTTGCAGTTATTCAGGGCTCAACAGCAACCACTCAAATGAGTTAGATTACTGTAGCACGTATAGACGGCATTTGGATGTCCCACGGGACTCACCACGGGCTATTACTTTCAAGAATGGCTGGCAAATGGCCCGGCAAAATGCAGAGATCTGGAGCAGCACTGAAGAAACGGTTTCCCCCAAAATCAAATCCCGTAGTTGCGATGATCTCCTAAACGATGACTGTGATAGCTTCCCTGACCCTAAGACTAAGTCAGAAAGCATGGGCTCTCTGTTATGTGAGGAAGACTCCAAGGAGAGCTGTACCTTACCATGGGCTTCCCCCTACCTCCAGGAGAGTCGCAGTAATGGCAGATCACGGATTAAGCACAGGTCAGCCCATGATGCCCCCGGGTTCCTGAAAATGTATAAAAAAATGCACCGCATTAACCGCAAAGATTTGATGAATTCAGAGGTGATCTGTTCAGTAAAGTCAAGAATAATGCAGTATGAGAAAGAGCAGCAACATAAGGGTCTACTGCATGGATGGAGCCAGTCCTCTACTGAGGAGGTGCCCAGGGACATGGTGCCCACCCGCATTTCTGAATTTGAGAAGTTGATTCAGAAGTCAAAATCAATGCCAAATTTAGGAGACGAAATATTGTCTCCTTTGACCCTAGAACCACCACAAAATGGTCTATATCCCAAAAGGCGATTTTCCATTGAGTCTTTGCTGGAGGAAGAAAATCAAAGTAGGCACCCTTCTCAGGTACAACGATGCTATAAGAATAAAACTCTGGTGCCAATTCATATAGAAGTCACCAGTGATGAACAACCGAGAACTCATATGGAATTTTCTGATAGTGACCAAGATGGAGTTGTGTCTGACCACAGTGACTTCATTCACGTAGAGGGATCATCCTTCTGCAGTGAAAGTGATTTTGATCACTTTTCTTTCACATCTTCTGAAAGCTTTTATGGATCTAGCCACCATCACCATCACCACCACCACCATCACCATCACCGGCACCTCATCAGTTCCTGCAAAGGCAGATGTCCTGCCTCTTACACTCGATTCACCACAATGTTAAAACATGAACGAGCAAAGCAGGAAAATATTGATGAGCCCAGAAGACAAGAAATGGACCCTGGCCTTTCTAAACTTGCATTTCTAGTCAGTCCTGTGCCTTTCCGGAGGAAAAAAAATCCAACTCCCAAAAAACAGACTGAAAAGGCAAAATGTAAAGCATCTGTTATTGAGGCTCTGGACTCTGCCCTTAAAGACATTTGTGACCAAATTAAAGCTGAAAAGAGAAGGGGAAGCTTGCCAGACAACAGTATATTGCACCGTCTTATTAGTGAACTGCTGCCAGATGTTCCTGAAAGGAATTCATCACTTAAAGCTCTAAATAGGAGTCCCATGCACCAGCCTTTACACCCACTGCCTCAAGATGGTGCTATCCATTATCCATTGTACCAGAATGATTGCGGGAGAATGCCTCACAGTGCCTCTTTCCAAGATATGGACACGACCAACAACAACTACCACCACCCAGACCATGATAGTGCACTGAGTCTCCAAGGTGGATTAACTTTTCTTCCTTTTTCCTTGTGGTTGAGATATTCATGCTCCACCTTTTTCATTTTTCCTTCATACATCTCATCATTCCTAAGCTGGAAGATCACTTGACACCATTATGTGTTGTGAAGCAATTTCTTGTTGTGCAAACATTGTCTTACTGAATATTTCTCATTTACTCATATGACTTTTGGACTCCATGTGTAGCTTAATCATCAATTCACAAAATTTTACTTATTCAACATTCAAAAGGAAAATCGTTTGTACCTTAATATTAGGGTTGAAACAACTGCTATGTGCATCAGACAATAAATGAAACAATTTACCAAGTTAAAAAGAATATTCAAAGATAGAAATTCTAATTGAATTTCAATTTCTTTAAGAGACTGAAAATTTTGCATTGTTCTTTTCCATTGTAAAATTATTCAAAATTGATAGTCTAACAGATAATTTTTTTCTTTGATTTTTATATTAACTCTATAATCATTCACTCAATAAGTAATTTGCTCACATTCTATACAGGAGATACTATATTAAAACAGGAAGCAAACTCAAAATATGTAATGAAGTAACTGATGGATAATTGAAGAGAATGGGGTTCATTGAATGTCTATTTCCATTTAAAGGACATGTGGTAAAATTTTTGTGAATGTATTTTTAAGCTGTGTATATAAACGCCCCATCTTCATCATTCACTGTATTCATTTTCTCTTCTGTCACTTAGTTTATTCATTTTCTGCTTCTTTTAAAACAATTCTATTTCAGTACATGAATTACATTCCTTAGATTAAATATGACTTCATCTTCATTTTTAAGATTATCTCTTCCAAGTGGCAACACAAAGCCAAATTGCAATTCAAATGAAGAGGACTTTTTTTTCAGGTTTATTTAACTAAAGAATACAAGGTGCTTTGGTATTTTTATCCAGTTCTTTTGAATAATTATTGAAGTACAATAATTTGTGAATTTTAAGAAGCTAGAATGAACATTCCAGGCTGAAACTCAGGTAGTCAACAGAGCACCTTCTATGTATGTTTTACAGATAGTATCCAATGAAAACTGATAGGTGTTACTTTAAGCTCTGTCTTATTATTGAGGAATTGAGGCTCAGGGAGGATAAGAAATTTGCCCAAAGTCACACAGATAGTAGACAGCAGAATCAGGTTTCAAACCCCTAACAGGGGTTTATATCATATATTAATTATCATCTAATAAGTAATCTCTATAGACAAAAAAAAGGGACACAATGAAAATTTCGTGTCAATGTAGTATATATGGACCAATTGTTAATTATAATTTCACTAATTTATTTTATTAAATTTATCTTTGCTTTTATTTATCTATGCAACAGGCTTCAAAACTAATAAATTAGAATTTTTTAAATCAATTTCTGTAATTTAAAATTTTCAGTGACTGAGACATGTCAGAATATAAATTTATCGATAAGTTATCTACCTTTTCCAGTTCTTCTGTACCATAACACTCAATTTTCTAATGTTCAGTTGCTAAATATCCTAATTTCTCAATTTTAGATGCAGATAGAATTACATTATTGAAACATGATTTGAGGGGACTTTGGAATGCATTTAAATAAGTTTATGTTTTTTAACAAAATATTTACTTTCCAATTGTGTATAAAGTGAAAATTAGTTTATATTCCATGTTGTTGTTGTTGTTGTGTGCCGTCGAGTCGGCCCCAACTCATAGCAACCCCTCCTTGGGTTTCTGAGGCAGTATCACTATGGAAGTAGGATTGCCCAACCTTCCTTCCGAGGAGTGGCTGGTGGGTTTGAACCACCAGCCTTCTGGTTAGCAGTCAAGTGCTTTTAGCCACTATGCTACCAGAGTTCCTTTATATTCCATAGTCATAGGGCTCTGATAATAATCATAAATTTAAAATTAATTTTATATTCCATAGATTAGTAAAATTAATTTTAAATTTATGATTATTATTAGAGCCCTATGACTATAGGTGTACACTAATTTAGAATGGAAAATATACTGCATAGAAAATAACTGGTCAAATTTTATCTTAGACTCTTGAAGGCCATGTTACCTTCCTACACCTAAAAACTGGAAGATCTTTCAAATCACAGTTCACAGAGAGTTAGACATTTGTCCTTATATGCAACCAATATCCCACCTGCTGTAAGAAGTCTATCTTTCCTTGTAGTAAGAGTAGTCAAAACCTTTAAACAATGTTTTCTTTTTATGAATCAGCATTTTTAAGTGCTGTACAGGTGAATTTGATTTTATTTTTCAAGTTTTCTGTTATTCAGTATAACTAAATTTATTACATGATATTAAAGTTTGGCTTGGTCTATAACATAGACTAGTGAGATACTTGTAACCTCTAGTTACATTTTCATGTATAAGTCACATGAATGCATAAAATATAATATACTATTAAGAAACAGTTGGAGCCATACTTTTGTAATGTAATTAATGATTTATCCTTTGATTTATGGTGAGAAGACAATTTAATATTTCATAAACAGTTTGAAAGTACATTTTCTGTTTAGAGAAATGTTATCACTTTGTTTCTTAGAATAAATATTTACTTTCTGATAAGATAATGTACCAGCTGGATACAAGAAGGCCATAGATAAAAAGAATGTCATATCTTAAATCTCTAAGTGTGTAAAAACAAAAAGAGAGAAGAGAGGATGAGCATAATTATAGTTTTATCATCATCATATTTTCTTTACTTTGTTTTTCATTTCTGTATCTTTGAATTGTAGTTCCACAAAATCTTTCTGTTTCTAAAATTGTTGCTATTTTCAAATTTTCTCCTGTTTGTCTATTAACTAAAAGGTTGACAGTTTGAATCCACCCAGGTGCACCTTGTAACTAAGGCCTGGCAATCTACTTCCAAAAGGTCAGAGGCTTTGAAAACCCTATGGAGCACAGTTTTACTCTGACACACGTAGGGTTGCTATGAGTCAGATTTGATTCAATGGCAACTGGTTTGTTATAAACCTCATAAAATAGTAATTACTAAATTGAAGGCAAAAAATATTAAGAAATCTTTGAAATGGAAAACGTCTGCAATCATGAATTATCTGCACTGGGTGCTGCAGTATATTATGTATTAAAGAATATATATTATATTATACAATGTAGCAGTTGAATTTTTGTACTATTAGAATTCTTCTGTAATCTCAGATATTTTTTCCTTTTCAAATGCTCTTGGTTTTGTGTCCCTATATCACAATTTTTAATTACTTATGTGTTTTACACTGATATTCTCATTTGTTGTGCCTTTCCAAATTTTCGGGGGAAAATAGCTAAACATGTCTGTTTGTAAAGTGGGTGCTCACTCTGATGGGCCCTGTCCTTCCCAATAGACCGTGAGTCCCCTAGAGGTTACTCATCAACGTTGACTGACTTGGGGAGAAGTGCATCAAGGGAAAGAAGAGGAACTCCAGAAAAAGAGGTAGTGAATTCAATGACACTTGAGTCTTTTTAAACAATATACTTACTAAAGCACTTACCAGTCAGAGTTACCTTCAAAATTCAGTAAAGAACTGGACTGAAAATACAAAAATGACAACTAAGAACCTAGAATATTCCCTGGAGACTTAAGGGTGGGGATCAAAAGAGTTTCTACATGGACCCTAGCTTTAGTTCTGCCCCAGTTGTGGTCCAGTTTTTGGCAATGTGGCATCTCTGAGTCTTGACACCTGTGAATTAATGGTCGTGGTCTAAGAATCCTAAGCTACTCACAGAAAGAGGAGGTTGCTCTGTACAAATTTCTTGCCCCGTGATCCAGAAAAGAGGTCTGGGTCAACAGTGTTGCAAATCTAAACAAATTCTGTATAACAATATTTTCTGGCTCACTTTTGTCAAAGGAGGTCCTCCAAAAATCTGCTAACCCTCCCAATTCTCTATAGCTCCCCTGGGAATCACCTACCAACTGGCTCTTAGTCCTTGGCTCTGAGCCTGGGCCAGAGTTCTGGTGCATACAGTCTTAGAGCCATGAGGGTTTGAGGGAAACTGAAAGCTAGTCATGGACTGGCAGACACACCACAATGATCTCCACAGGGGTCTGATGTAGTCCAGTGCCTATATAGGACCCCCAAGAAGTCAGGAATGAGGTCTAGATTTCCTAAGTTTTGCCAGAATCACTGGAAAAGAGAGTATTTGGGGAATATGGGGAGAGTCATGTAGTTGCCATAGGGTACACGCAGTCTGTGGGCCCCAATGTTGGAGGATGAACACATGTCCCATCGCATCATGACTGGAAGATGAGCAGCTGGTGGACATGTGCTGGAGAATTCCTGAACCCTCCAGTGAATACAAGATGATCATACCTACACCTTGGCCAGTAACTAGCCTCCAGGTGGTAACTGAGCTAATGTTTCTTTTCTAATATTTTAATACACATTTAGTAAAAGAGGTGATCGTCATGACGTTGTCTAGCCTATTTATCGTGACTTAGGAGTTGTGCCAATACATAGAACATAGCGCAATTAAACCCCACATGGCAATTAACCCCAGGAAAAGCCTTTGTTGGAGCCAGAATTGCACCAAGGAGAGAATCCTCAGCAGTTGTTCCGTTTCCTCTATTGCATTCATCTACCTTAGTGCCTAAAATGAAATATGATATTCAATAGTTATGGTGAATAGATCACCTGAGATGTTCTATTTCTATACCTGTAATAGCTTAAATATTGAAATGCATAACCAATTATTTGTAAATTGTATATAGGATGTACATCAAATCATTCCTTGAGGATTTAGTTATCATTAATTAATGTGAAACTGCTTTTTTGTAGGAGATGCAAATTTTAAGGTCAGTGCTAATTGTTTACTTTCTTTTTAGAAATTGCCTGCAAAAGCTGTTTATGATTTCAAGGCTCAGACATCTAAGTAAGTAAGAAAAGTTTTCACTACATGATTTACATTGCCTCTAAATACTTTAGTAAGATTTCAAGAGAGAAATATTGCAGTGGGATGTGTTACAAATAAGGCCTAATTCCCAATTCAGCAATTGACTCTAATTAATTAAATTGTTCCTTCAGAATTAATTGGAATAGGGCTATTTTATTTTCATCTTGAGTTTATTTGTGACACATTGCATTTGAAATTTCATTAAACATGTTTTAGTACTGTGTTGGATTGGGTTCTCTAGAGAAACACAAAAACCAGCAAAGT